AATCTGCAAACAAAATGAACAAAACATTTATACTTTTGATCATTTAATGTATTTAAAATGAACATTTAAAACTGATCATACCTGACTCACTGATGGAGTTTTTCCTGACCATGATTTTCTCCATTTCTTCAGAAATTCTGCATACTCCTCACTAATTTTATCAGACTTTGGCTCAACAATTGGAATTTCTCCTGTAGGCAAGCCATAAACTACCCTAACATCCTCTACCTCAATTTCTATTTTTTCATTCTTTGGTAGTTCAAAATACTGGCTATTTTCTTCAAAACTTCCCAATAACCAGTTACAGAACTTTTGATCAAGTTGAGGTAAACTAATGTCAAGAAGTGATCCTAACCCTATATCAATAATTTGTTGTTTTTGGGTAGGTGTCATCTTTTTTATCCATGCAATGAACTTCACATGTCCTCCTCTCTTTGAAGATTTCTCTTCCTCAAATTCATCTTCCTGAATTTCCTCAACTTCATCAGTTTCTATTGCTTGAACCATTTCAGTTTTCATTTTCTTTTTTCTCCTACCTTCAATCTTTCCTTCATCATACAGTACCATCTTTTGCTCCTCCTTTTCAACCTTTGCCTTCACTGAATTCCCTTTCTTTGCCTGTTTCTTCCTTGGCTTTACTTCTTCCTCTTCCTCCTCTTCCTCCACCTCATAATCATCCTCACTGACAGGCTCTTCTTCTGCTCTATAAACTGACTCTTCACTATCATCATCACTGTCAGGATCTTGAGAGGGTTCATCTGATGGTACTTCTTGTATTTTTTTTCTCTTTCCAGCATTTCTCTTGGCAGGACTGACATCTGAAAATTAAATATATAATTTTGTTTAAGTATTGAAAATGTACAGTAAGCAAATGATAAAATGAACAAAATTGTTTTCTCAAATGATCATTCTATATATAGAAATTGAACATTTATAATATATCATTATATACCTGCTTTTCTTTTGCCAGCAACCTTAGAAGTTTTCTTCACTTCTAGAGTTTTCTTTTTCCCACCTATATATTGAAATTGAACATTAATGATATACCATCATAAATGATCATTCTATACATTAAGATTGAACATTTACCCTTTTTGCCTTGGTCTGGAGGATATTCAGCAGGAGCACCTGCCATTTTTTTTATTGGAGTAGGTGCTGGAGGTGGTGCATCAGCTTCCTTTTGAATAGGAAAATTCCTTGTAGACATTCTTCTCTTCTGTCCTATTTTTGCGGTTTCTTTAGCAGGCTCAACATCCTTCTTCAGGCTTCCCTTTTTAGATTCATCTAACAGAACATCTATTGTTTTTAAAAAAATTTATGTTAGTATATTTGAAAGTGTAATATTTATTGTGTAACAGAAAAGTATTATGATTACCTTGGCTCCTTGTAATTCTACCACTTGGCACAACAACAAGGCTTTTGTTTTTGTTTTTCCTTGCAACCATTTTGTATCTTGTTTTCATTTTGGTTGACTGATCACTTTTTTGTGATGATGGAGCTGTCTCCTCACTAAGTTTTGTGGAAACTTTATCATCATCTTGATCTAGAAGATAAGTTTCATCCTCAATTTGAACAAAATCAGGTGCAATTTGTGCTGCATATGAAATGATCAAATATAAAAGATTAAATAAACATTATTAAATTGGATGACAAAAGTTTACTATATACAATATAAATGAACATTTCAGGTAATGAATATGTACATTTTCCACTATTTACCTTTCGGATCTGTTGTCTTTGTAGACTCATCTTCCACTGTTTTCTCTTTAGGGATTTTCTCCTTTTCAGGCTCTTTTTTTCCCTCTTGTCCTTCTATGAAAATTTAATTAGTTAATATTTATATATTTTTTTAATCTTATTGAACATTCAATATTATGTAGATCCAATATGAACATTTTATGTAATAAAAATGTACATTTATAAATTTTTACCTTCTACATTTGTTGTCTTTGGAAAGACATCTTCCACAGTTTTGTCTTTAGGGCTTTTCTCTTTTTCAGTCCCTTTTTTTCCTTCTTGTACTTCTATTAAAATTTATTTAGTTAAAATTTAATTTTTTTAATCTTATTGAATATTTAATATTATGCTTTTCCAATATGAACATTTTTTGTAATAAAAATGTACATTTTAAAATTTTTACCTTTTTCCACAGTTTTCTCTTCTATTGGCCCTTTTTCTTTCTTTTTTGCTTCACCTTCAAAAGTAATAGTATTGTTAAAATTGATATTTATGACTATTAAACAAAAATATTCAATAAATATGATCATTTACCTTTCCTGATTTCCTTGCTTGCCTTTTCCATTCTTTTGAGATTTCTCATAATTCTGATTGTCGATTCTTTGTACTTTCTGTAAATGTATGATATTAACTTTGAAATATATTCATTAATTGATTAAATTAATTCAATTATTTAAATTTAAACATACTTTGGGTTTCTCTCTATGTCTAAATGTATTTCTTGCATCTTGTCCTTTAATGTTGTTATTCTTGAATCATCTTTGGGTTTTCTGATATTTCATTAAAAATATGTTTGAATTTACAATTTTGATTAGTAAATAAAAAAATGAACATATAACTTATATTACTATTGGCCATGAGCAAACTTTTTTGTACTGATTTTCAAATGAACATATAGTCTATCTAAATTGAACATTTAAGTTTTCTTACTTTTGGCCAAGACTATTCTTTACTGGATTGCTTTGCACTTTTGGTTGAACTTCTTCTTGCTTGCTGAAATCAATATTAAGAAATACTTTAAATAAAAAATGCACATAAATTGTACATAAAATATACTGTTATAAAAATGAACATTTGTTTATATAAAATTGATCATTAGTATACCTTTCATCCCTGCTCTCTTTGTCAGTTGTGTTATGTGTAGCAGACACACTCTTAGTTGTTGCATTAGTAGCAGGAATGTTCTCACTTTGTTCACTTAAAAAAAACAGAATTATTTTATATAATATGATATTAAAGTATGAACTAATTTATACAATGAAGAAGATAATTAGTTATTTTGTATAAAGCTTTTATACCTTATTGTTTGATTTGTCTCTGGTGGTCTTGATTTTGACATAACAAATTTCACTCGAACCTTTTTTTTTCACTAAAATTTTAAGAATTACCTAATAAGTTTGGTATATATATACAATGTACAATAATTGAATGTAAAAACAATTATTTTATACATATAAACTTACTTGTTTAAAGTGTATCTTTCATAACTATTACCATATTCATTTTGTTGTATAACCTTCTTTAGAGTTAATGGTTCAGATTTCCCATCTCTAAATTGAAGCAAGTGTATCACTCTAAATGGCACATCACTACATTATAAATTAATTACATGACATTAGTTTGAATGCATATCACTGAAATGATTATTATCATATTTATATATGTGCATGATGATTTAATGAAATGTATATTTGTTATTTAAATCTCAATGACTACTCAAATGAACAAATATACATATATGATCATAATTATATCTATAAATGAACATTATGAGTATCAAATATGATCATATACAATGATGTTTCAATGAAATGTACTTTTGTTTTTAAATCTCAATAAATACTCATATGAACAAATATAAATATATGATCATAACTATATCTATAAATGAACATTATGAGTATCAAATATGATCATATACAAATAACATATTAAACAAAGATAAAACCAATTTTATCAAATACAACTAGCATATTAGACATGAACATAATATATTCTGTAAATGACTAATTACCTTGGTAGTGGAGACATTGTTAAATCCGTACCAATTGACTTGTCAATATCTTTTAAAAGTTCCGGATCTACAATTGGATCATTTTGGCGGTTTTTTTTCAATTTGTCTACTCTTGACTGAAGAGGTACATCATCATCATCGTCTCTGTTTTATTTAATAAATTGTTAATGTTTTAGTTATTTTCAGTAAAATCTTAGAACAATTACTACAATCGCAAAAAATTTTAACAAAAATTAGGTTTTACAAAAGTTAGGGTTCATACATTTCTTCAGAAATTTTCAACAAATTACTCGTCTGTGAAGTATTTTTCTCCAAAATCATACTACAATTGCAAAAAATTGAACAAAAATTAGGTTTCACACATAAAATCGCACTATAATTGTCATCGCAAGAATATGAACAAAATTACTTACTCTTTGGTAACATTTTGCTCTGATTTTCCAGTTTTATCTTCCATGTTCTTCTCTAAAGCGTTTTTTTGCAAAATCACTCTACAATCACAAGGAAAAGAACCAAAATTATGCTTCATACAAAAATTGTACTAAAATCGTAATCAAATGAACAAAATTACTTACTCTTTATCAAAATGCTGCTGCGATTGTTTAATTTCATCTCGAATATCAGACATTTGAAGTAATTATGAAGTGTTTTGAAGCAATTTTGCAATAATTTGAAGAGAATTTCGTTCCGATTCGACGGTGTTGATGAGAGAGAAATTCTACAAAAATGAAGAAGATGGTTTTTAGAGAGAGAATAATTTGATATGGATAGTTTTTTTTTTTTACTGTGGTTAGTGGGGGTAGTTACTGTAGTTTGTGGGGGTAGGGGAAAAACGCAAAACGCTGCGTTTTGTAGGGGGTGTAGGTTATGGTACCTACACTAGGGTCTAGTGTATACTAATTAAAAATTGCATGCCCAAACTTGCTCAAAATGGCCGGGCCATGCAGGCTTTTTGGGATGGGCCAAAAAAATGTATAAAAACACATGCACAGGCCCATCCAACAAATAAAAAATTTTCAGGTCAGGCACTACTCGATTTCGGCCCAAAAAATCTACCCAAAATTCGGGCCGAGTTGGGCTAACTTTGATCAGCTTTCTTGGGTCAAATTAGATCGATTACTATTCAAAATGGATGGATTTTTTTTGGATTGGATCGGCTTTAACACCTCTACTCATAGTCACATACAGCCAAGGTACACAAGGCCATAAGCACGTTTAACATGTCCTTCCATTATCATGCATTACCCATTGACTAAAATGATAAGATAAGGTTTTTATTTGGTGTTTTTGAACCCAGGAAAATGGAGGAAAAATTATCATCTTTTGCAAAATCATTAACACCTTCACCAATTCAACAACTTTCTTATCTTGCTCAGCGTTGCAATGCCATTAATCTTGCTGAAGGTTTCCCTGATTTTCCTGCTCCTTCCCTCATCAAAAATGCTGCTGTTTCTGCCATTAATTCTGACTTTAATCAAAGCAGGTTTTACTTTATTTTCTCTCTCCTCTCTAATTTTTTTTTTCCTTCTATTTTTGACTATTTATTTGTACCCACATTCCCCAAAGTGTCAATTGCTTATATAGTTTGACCCATGATTTATAATTTATTTTAGCTTCCTCTTATTTATGGAATTATTATGTGTACTTGATGGATATTTTTGGGATACTTGGTATTGCTATAGAATTGGTGGATTAGGTGACTTTTATTGTACCACTTGGCACTGTTTGCATGATAATATGATACGACTACAAAAGTTTATATACCCCAAGTAGACCTGGCAATTCTAATTCGACCCGTTATTCGAAAATTCCGAACTCAAACTGATTTGTACCCGATCTGAAGTAAAGTTGATCCAAACATGATCCGTTGCCCAAATTGACCTAATCTGTACTTGATCTGAAACCCGAAGTAACCCGACCCGATTTTAATCCGAATTAATTGACCCGAACTGACCTAATACTCAAAGTGACCCGACCTGAAGTGACTCGACCGTAAATAACCCGACCCAATTACTTTTCACAGTCAAAAAACACATTTCAGGAACTGGTAATACTTTAGGATTAATCCTTGCATATGGTAAGTTGGTAACCCCGTTGGTGTATTCCGTGTACAAGTCTGCAGGCAAGAAGCGTTGTCCCAAGTAAACAGTGCATACCGTGTAAAAACCTTCGGGTGCTCGGCACGCTCGATCACTATACACTGGACATAAGTAGATCCGGTTTTTTATTTGATAAATATACTATGCGACAATAACGCTATATTTTAGAAGTACTATACTTTATGAATTTGTTATATCAGTTTAGTTGTACACTTGTAATATTGTTAACAAATAAATTACACGACCCAATTTGATCAAATCAGAAATGACCTAACCCAAACTTGACCCGACAATTAGACTTGAAAATTGATCCGACCCAAACTAACCCAACCCAAAGTGACCCGACCCAAACTTAGCCCAAACCGAACTCAGCCCGAAGTGTTGACCCGAGTCTTGAATTGACCCGACTCGACCCGAACCTGACCCAAATATTTGACAACCTGAAATGACCCGACACAAAATGATGCGACCCGAATATATTTTGACCCAACCCGAACGACTCGTTTGTTAGGTCTACTCCCAAGTGAAAGGTGCACCCAAGACACATGGATATTTTTTTTTTTTACGCTCATTTTAACTTTGCGCCCATTGCTATGGGCACAAGAAAAACGGAGAGAGTATTATTTTTTCCTAATGTGTTTGCTTTGCTGAGCTCCAAATAAGCAAAGGGGTAAAAAAAATTGAGTTTTTTTTTTCTTAGGACATATCACATGTGGGGTACATCACTACGTGCGAAAGGGTGTAAAATTAGTAAATTACATTTAGTGTATAACTAGGTCAATTCCCGTGCCATGCACGATAATTTTCAATAACCATTATTAAACTATTATTGCACTTACTCCGTTTCTTTTTAGTTGCAACACTTTCCTTTTTGGTCCCATTTACGTCCCTCCGTTATAAAATTGATAAATAAGGCAATTTCTATCATACATCATACAGTCGAATGTATGATACAACTAAGATATTTTTTTCCCTTTTTTTTTTTCTTATTTATTTCTTCTCAATTGGGTTAGCTACGAGGACATACGTGATAGATTATGATCATGCAACATGAGAATGTGAGAGAGTGTAAAATTACGTTTAGCGTATAATACGGAGTAATCTGATAATTTGATTTATTTTAGTTTCCTTATTGACGAGTTATTCTTAGAATACTTGATTTTTGTTATAAAATTGATAATAAATTAGGCAATTCTATTGTATAGTCGAATGTATGATACAACCAAGTTACCAAGATTTTTTTTTTTTTTTTTTTCTCTCCATTTGGGTTAGCTACAAGGACATATGTGATAGATTATGATCATGCAACACGAGAATGTGAGAGGGTATAAAAATACACCTGGGATTATAATGGACAATGCTGATGGTTTGCATTTTGTTGTCACTAGGAGTTAGTGACTGCTGTATACATAAGTTTGATGTGGGACCAACATTAGGTTCAACACCTGTTAGCATAGAAAGGGATTATTGACTATGCTTAATTGGTATTCTGTTCTAATTTTGAGCTGAAATCATACCACGGATGTTCAAAATTTTGAATATGAATTTTGTAACGGTTTTAGTTTTGTTACATTCACAGTTTTTTTTTTTTTTTTTTACTGAACTGATTAGAAATGCCTAAATTCAGCGTTGAGGTTGATATATAGCTTATAATTTTTTGGGTTAAAGGTGTCTTTTTCTTGGATATAGTCTGGAATTTGTAATTTTAGGAATGGGATGCTTGAGATTTGTTTTGGCATATGAAGTCTGAATCTGACTATTAATTTATAGACATGTGCAGGAAATATGTGATTATCTAGCAAAGAATGTGAAGGACATGCATGGCCTGGATATTGATCCTATGACAGATATAGTGATTTGTTGCGGTCAAACTGAGGCGTTTGCTGCAGCAATGTTTGCCTGTAAGTTCAACTTATGCTTGGTACTTTGGTAGAGAATGCAACGCAAGGTAATGCAATGGCCAAAAGAAAGACATGTTCATTACCTGGCAGCAATTGCATTACATTGTGTCTCGGTAAACTTAAGGATAATAATTCTAACAAATATTTAATGTGATATACTCCCCAAATGTCATGTGCAGTAATTGATCGAGGTGATGAAGTTATCGTGCTTGACCCATCATATGAGACATATGAATCTTCAATTAGCATGGCTGGAGGAGTCCCAGTAAGCCCCCTTTTTTTTTCATATGGTTTGCTTAAGGCTTAAATCAGATCATGACTCCCGAATAATTAATAGAAGATGACCGGAACATTTATCATTTGATATTTTACCTGAACTCTGATTTTTTTCCAGGTATTTGTGCCCTTGGACCCTCCTTATTGGACTCTGGACCCAGAGAAACTAATGAAAGCTTGTACTTCCAAAACAAAAGCTATAGTATTGAACAGGTTTGGAATTTTGCGGTTCTTTACCCTCCAATAATCAATTGGTATTTTGGCCTAATTTCTTTGTTATTAAGGGGTTAGAGGAGCACTATTGAATAACTTTGCAATAGGCTTAAATTGATCTGTCAAAAAAGAAAGTGTGTTTTAGCCTGCTATCGTTTGGTTAGTTTGATGACTATCATTACATACAATTGCTACCTTGCTGTATACCAAAACTGCTGCATTTGATATAAAATACTGATACAGAACGACAGCCCTCACAATCCTACAGGGAAAGTGTTTGGAGTAGATGAACTGGACATAATTGCTGAAGCGTGCCATAAGTGGGACTGCCTAGCTGTTACAGATGAAGTATGGGAAGAAAATTTTCTTACTTCTACTGGCATCAAACTTTGTCTCCGCATTCTTATAGTGTTTAGCTCCCATAAGAGTTATGACATGGCTAATCTACTAGGTGACAGTGAAATCCACATCTTAATCTGTGGTTATTATTTATTTCAGGTGTACGAATATATAACCTATGATAATGAAAGGCACATATCCCTTGCTTCGCTTCCAGGAATGCAAGAGCGGACAATCATCACTTCCTCTATGTCTAAAACTTATTGTGTGACAGGTGATCTCAACTGCCTTCCCATCATGTTTTGCAACCATTTTCATATTTGACACTCTCATATACAGGGACTGATACTGTCTTCATAATTGACATTCATATACTGGGATGGATCCATGTGATGAGATTTGTGAATTGTGAAGTTATGGGGTCAAATATACGTAATTAATTATATCTGGGAATTTTGAAATTTATTCTTGTAAAATCTGAAAATTGAGTTCATCCTATTTGTTAATCGGCGGTTGGCTTTTGGCTGGTTTGTTTGGCTTGTTTGACCATCTGGAAGTATTAGCTATATTGATTGGCTTTTTAAGTGGTGGTTTAAGGCGACTGTTTACAAAAGTGTGGCCAACTTATTTGTGGTTTTAGTTGTGGTTGTTAGTTGTTTATTAGTGAAAAAGCAAGCTAACAAGTCAAAAGCCAATAAAAAATGCTACTCTTATTGGCTTTAAGCTAAAAAGCCAACAACCAAACATATTATTTGGTTGTTTGACCAAACTAAAATCCTAAAAGCCAAAAGCCAGGCAAAAAAGCTTATTGCCAAACACCCCTGGTATTTTGTTTTGCCCTCATAATATTTTTCCGAATCTGCCTCTACTCTTATAGGTTGGAGAATTGGATGGGCCATTGCCCCTGCATGTATTGCTGATGCTGTAAGAAACGTCCATATAAGACTTACGGATTCTGCTCCAGCACCTTTTCAAGAAGCTGCCGTGGTGGCTCTGCAGAGCCCCCCACAATATTACGAGTCAGTAAGAGAAGTAAGATTTATATCAGTAAATTATCTCTCCAGCTTAGATAGCAAGCTCTTAAAAAGTTTCTCCCTACTGATGGTACTATTACTGGTTTCCAAGGACTTTGAATCCAGAAGGGACTTTATTGCAGAATTACTCGGTGGGATTGGTTTTCAGACTAACTTTAAGCCTCAGGGTGCATTCTTCATGTTTGCAGAGCTACCCAAGGATTACAATAACTGTGACGTAAGTTGTGGCTTCTCAAAACTTTCTATTCGCGGTATTTTAGTAATGTAATGCGTATGCAGTTTATTTGTCACCATTCATCACCCTCCAAAGAAAAAGATCAGTATGAAATTCATGTATTCTGTGAGTCATGCCTCAACTTGCCTACCTAACTTGCAACTATTATGTCATGTATTCTGTGAGTTATTTTGCAATTTATGTATTGTATTCATGTTTCGTGATCAGTATCCTAATTGTCACCTTTTACAGAAATTATTGCCTTGACAAGTTAGAGGATAGAATGAACAACTCCAAATGTATTTCTTGCAGATAGACTTTGTTGAAGAATTGATCAAACAAGCAGGTGTAGTGGCTGTACCAGGATGTGGATTTTTCCATACAAAGCGTCCATCGAATGGCTATCAAAGAAGGTACATCAGATTTGCTTTCTGCAAAAGCAGTCAGACACTGATGGCTGCTCGCCGTAGGATAAGTGAGCTTTTAAATTCGTCTGGTCATCTCAAGCTATTTCACTCTGAAAATGATCCAGATTCTTGACAGCTTTGTAATCTGTTATTCATACTTCCTCCGTTCCTTTTTAGATGACACAGTTTGACTTTTGCACTATTCACAAACAACACTTTGACTAGCTTTTATAATTTGCAGCTACGATAAAACATAATCATGTGAGATATTGTTTGAATCGTCTTAATGTATATTTTATTAATATCCACTTTTTATAATTTTACAATGATGATAATGGGAGATATAACTCATGAAAATTGTGCGTTGGCAAACGTGATAAAAGAAACGTGTAATCTATTAAGGAACGGAGGAAGTATTTATCAGTTTTGTTGCTCTTAGTTGTTACATAGAGGCATCTCATTGAAATTGTACTATTTCTATGCTACTATCTTCTCGTTTAATGTATCTAAACGATATTATTATTAAACTTCAACTAATTCGGATTCAAGCCAAGTCTGCCCCAAACTGAGGGGAAAGCTCTGCCGCCAAAAACACTCAGAAGGCTTGAATTTGAGTCGTCTGGTTAAGCTGGATCAGTTTCGTTGGTGACTTTCAAATTTAAATAATGTGATGGGTCAGATGCCTATACAACCAACATTGATTTACTTCTTCAGCAACTAATATAGGATGTGTGGAAAATGTTACCGCATGTCTTAATTATGATAGTGATGGCATTTAAAAAAAATTCCATAATCACTCTTTAAACCATATGAAAGGATTCAAAGGAAGATGATACGAATAACACAACTACACATGTATTACAAAGGATTTTTTTTTCTGTAATCACTCATTATGAAAAGGCGAGGATAATGTGACAATTAATTGTAGCTAGTGTATCACTTTATTGCATTCTACAATGTCCAATGATCAACTCTATGGGTTTCCATGATCATTTTTTTTTTATTTTTTTTATAGCTAATCTCAAATTTATTATTAAATTTTGTCAGAAAAAATCTTTTTAAACAACTTTTTTATTGGGAACAACCTTTTAAAAATTTTTTATAACTAGAAACTAGATTGTAAATTTTTTTTGTTCAAGACAACCAAGCTCACATTCCGCCATTGACTTGGTCATTTCCGACATTGACCCCCATGTGCAGGTCACATGACCTTTTTTTTCTTTTACTAATCCCACCCCTTTTCTTTTAAGTCTTTTAAGTTTCCTCTTAATTTTCCTCTAACCTCTATTGTTTTTAATCTTCCCCCTTTTCTTCTAATTTCCCCCCATCTTCTCTTCTCTCCTCTCTTACTAGCTAGGTTGTTCTCATATTGAAGATCTTTCAAGCATGGTAGTTTGAATTAATTGCAGTAATTGTTTTTGGCAATTAATTTCAACCAAGGATACACTTACATTGTTCTGTAATTGTTATCCAGATATCAATTTTGTAGGTATTTGAATATTTAGGGTTTTTTTTTGCCCCTTTTTAATTTGCGCTAATAACATCTATTTATCTCAATTATGTAGCATCCATGGCTCCATCCAAGTATCTGGGTTTATGTATAACTTTGTAATTGGTCGCCCTTAGCTTCTTAGAACATGACGCAACTCCTTTCCTCCTTCCTTCCTTGCTTTGTTCTTACCCATGGCAGAGCAATCGCAGCAAAATTTCAGAAAATAATACCCAGAAAAGGAAATAAACATCATTTAAATACAATAAATTAACTAAACTTACTGTTTAGGGTGGGTGTAAATTAACTTCACTTCATATCTTCATTGATTAATTTGCAGGTTTAGGGTGAAGACATGGCAGAGAATAGGTTGAAGATGATTTATTACCTCATTTTTGAAGAGAGGAGAGAGAAGATGGGGGACAATTAGAAGAAAAGGGGGAAGATTAAAAACAATTGAGGTTGGAGGGAAATTGGGGGAAAAATTAGAAGAAAAGGGGTGGGATTAGTTAAAAAAAGGTTATGTGACCTGCATATGGGGGGTCAACGCTGGAAATGACCAAGTCAATGCCGGAATGTGAGCCTTGGTTGTCTTGAACAAAAAAAATTTACAATCTGGTTTGTAGTTGCCAAAAATTTTTTAAAAGGTTTTTCCCAACAAAAAAGTTGCTTTAAAAGGTTTTTTCTAACAAAATTTCCTTATTATTATTATTATTATTATAAATATAACAAAAACCTACAAAGTCAAACGATTTACAAGAAATTAGTGGGGAGCTGAGATACAATCTGGGCCCCCACCCCTTTAGCTATAGCAAACCCGATCCTGTTGAAGATGTGAGCAGCTGCACGAGCACCAATATCATGCGTCCTAGCGAATGTCTGAACTCGCTTCAGCATCCTTCTCTAATTCCCCTAATGAAGAAAAGGAGAAAGGAAGAAAATCATAGCCAATAGCCCTGCAACGCGCCCCATACTTGTCTCGCTTCCGCTGAGCCGCAGTTGACACAACACGACCAGGAACTAAGTCAGACAACCCTGATTATGTCAAAGGAGAAGACCCCGTCAAGTCAACACATACATCAAGGCCTTTATCCCAGGAGTAATGCAACACATCTGCAAGTCGAAGAGCCCCGTCGTTCCCTCCAATCAACCCAATGTTAACCTCCTTTCTTGCAGAAATCCCAGAGCGGAAACAAATATCAACAAGGGTATCACGAACAACATTGTGCCGATGTTTAATACCCACCATCCCAGCACAAGACACTGCATGATCCCCATAAATGTCCCCATTAAAAACCCTTGAGCAAGTAGATTACGGTGTCGAAACGGAGAACAAGGGAACACCCAACCGGTAGCTGCTGCTTCTTCTTCTTCTTCTTCTTCTTCTTCTTCTTCTTCTTCTTATTATTATTATTATTATTATTATTATCCTTTTTTTTGTGGAAGCTTATTTTAAGTTGTTTACCTTTAAATCTTAATTGCTAACTAGTGTGTATCTCATTTGTTGCACTGGGTTTAAGGTAAAAAATTACATATAAAATACCTTCTTTTTATTACATGTGATGGAGGCATAATTAATTACTCAATAATAAATATTATAAGAAGATATGATCACAAGACCTTATATTATTTTTATTTTAAACAATTTAACATTTACGTAATGGAAGGTGGATTGATGGTTATGTTTTCACTCTTCATTCGAGGAGGATGCCACGTCACTCAATTACAAATATGAATTTTACACACCTAATGACCTAATCAAGGATACGTGCCATTGCCACGTATCACCCTCACTTCCACCAAGAGGATATCATTAGCGGTGAGAAAAAAATCAGGGTATCTTGAATCAGAATCGAAACTTGTACAAGAGGTTCCAGTTCCTGTTAGCAAAATGGGGAACCTATTGCAACAGGTTCTGGTTTTAGGTTCTCAATTTTTTGGAATTGAACCGGAACCTGTAGGGTACCATATAATCTGATAAAAGTATCACTTAAGTTCAAATTATACACCAATTTTAACCTAGTTTTTAAAATAAAAAATATCAAAATTACAATTATAAATATATGTATTAAATTTGCTCAACAAATACTATTAGTTTGTTTTATTTGTGAGTTATAAACAATTAAACATTATAAATTAGTGACCATCTAATTTTTTATAAAAACATCTGCAAAAAATTATTAAGTATATTACAAAACAGGATACCCTGAATCGAAACCGAAACCTGTAGGTTTCGGTTTCGGTTCCAATTTCCAGGAACATGTTCAACAAGTTCCGATTCTGATTCCCAATTTGAGTAACCTGTTGCAACAGGTTCCGATTCAGGTTCCAGGAATTGTTATGCTCACCCCTAGATATCATGTCACCCAATTAGAAATATGACATAGCACTTCAATTAAAAAATGCTTATGTCAAGAATTGAACTTGAGTCGTCCATTAGAAAATAAACGATAAAACATACCATCTTTGCTATCTAATAATTTTGCTCATTTATTCTTCTTTTTTTTGAAGAAGAAGAAAGAAGAAGATTCTTTTTAAATATAGTTAATGTAGACCATACGAGTGTTTTTGTTTGTACTTTCATACTTTTGTTAAGTAATACTCCGTACGAGATATTGACTTGAAGACAAATTATTTTCTTAGACTAAATCTAAAGTATAAGTATTTAAGATTATTATGTACAAAAAAAACTAAATTCAAATTCACCTACAAAAAATATAATACATGAAAACTATATTACAATAATATTTAACATATCAACTAGAGTATCGCACGAGCTAAATACTAGTTGGACATTGAACATTTACATGAGGAGAGTGTCAGGTGGCACATAAACTTCCTTTGGCATGCTTTTTAATACTGATATAAGTATAGATATGGGTGAGCAAATCGGGTACCCGATCAAAATTTTAGGAACCGGACTCGGAATTGGTTGAGCCCGGGTCCTAAAGTTCGGAATCGGAATTGGAATTGGATTAACCGGGTCCTAAAATTTAGGAATTGGAATTGCAACCACCGGGTATCGGTTCCGGGTACCCACTTATGTATATAATTGTTAAAATTTAATACAAATTCTAATACTTATTTTGGTCTATTTTCATTTACAGCAATAATACTTATATGTATATATGCATTAAGCTATTTTATTTATGTTAGGTATTAATAATATATTTTTTTATTTTACTAGCTAGATGCCTTCAACTCATTTTTGTTTGTTTTTTTTCAAAAATATCTAGTTTAATATATGTTGGGTAACCGGGTACCCAACCAGTTCTGGGTCCAAAAAATTGAGAATTGGAATCGGAACCGATTGCAACCGGTTCCTTAATTTTTTACCCGGAATTGGAACCATCGGGTCCAATTTCGGTTTCGGTCCCACCGGTTCCGGTTCCAATTGCGGATACCCAAATTTTTTGCTCACCCCTAAGTATAGATTTATACTAGTGTCACATTAAAAATGTACATAGTAGACCTGGCAAACAGGTCATTCGGATCGGGTATGGCTCGTATGGGTTGGGTTAACTTCGGATCAGCTAACATTCGAGTCGGGCCAGGCCAATTTGGGTTTTGATTATGTTTCAGGTCGGGTATTGGGTTGAGTTCGAGTTAGGTCAATTTCGGGTCGGGTATGTTCAAGTCGGGTCATGTTCGGATCGTTACATTTTGTGTTGATACAATGATCAAGCTCAAATCGATAATTTTATTCGGTTTGTGAGTTTAGTTACGGTTGGGGATGAAATCGTTTGAGTCATTTTTGGCACTAGGTATTTTTAGTTCGGTTAAAAGGTAATTTTAATTTTAGACATTTTGGGTATCGGGTCTGTTCGGGTTAAAATCAGATCAGGTCAACTTCGGGTCAGGTCATTTCAGATATTCTGTACAATCGGGTCGGGCCATTTTAGGTATCGAGTGAATTCCACTCGGGTCAGGTATGGGTCGAGTCGGGTTGATTTTGGGTATCGGGTCATTTTCGGGTCACGGATTGGATCAATCGGATTGGGTCAGGATTGTCAGGTATTACATATCATTTTTGCAACAATGCAGCTATATGCCTATATCTCATTAGCTATAAATATAATTTAATACCAAGTAATTCATAATAGGGGAAAAAATATTGTGGATTTTTTTTTTTTTAATTACTCCTACAAGATACCATCGCGAAAAAGAATTTGTCAAAGTTCTGAACCACCACCCTAAAACTTTGATTGTTCCCAGAGAAATGGCACAATTTATGTCAACAGTCCAATTAGCCATGCAAAAAATATGGAGAAATTATGATTTATTGGGAATATTGATTAAATTATGACTTTTTTTTTGGGGTAATATTGATTAAATAATGATTTTTTTTAGGGAAATGTTGCAAAAATTTAGGTGTTTTTCCCATTTCAGATACATAATTTGATCACATCTTACAATATTTTTCTTCTTTACATTTCAAGCTATCACCTTTTTATTTAGATTGTGTTTTTCATATCTTGGCATTCGCGTTATACGAAAAACGAATAAATAAAAAAAGAACGGAGAGAATACATTTTAGTTTTAAATGGCTGAGGAAAATATAATGACAATACATGGAAGCAACTATTTTAGTAATGGGGATCAAGATAATCAAAATAATAATCCCACACAAATGGAGGATCAACAACAGATAGGTCAAGTTCACTCACTCTTGCGCCTTATGAAGATCTCTAATGAATTTGTCGCGATAAAAGAGTACGTGTTGTACTAGTACCTTTGTTTTTATCTTCTAGTATCCTTTGATTTTTTATAGTTCAATCAATATTTCTTAATGTTGATCATTTTCTCCCTTATTTCAGTTCGATGGAGATGTCTCCTCTGCCCGGAAATAACGTTGAGTTTCAACACGATTATAATATTGAATTAAGGCCACAGGTTGGTAACACAAGCATGGGTTTATGTTGATTTTGCTTCATATCGATTGAGGCTTCAGTTATTATTTGTAACAGTCATGTTGATAGTGTAATTTGAACTAACAATAACAGGTGACAAATAATTGCAAACTGATGTAATGAAAAAATGTTCGTTACAATGATCTTAGGTAAATAGCTCTAACCGTAACAATTATTGTCTCATGACTTTAGGTTGGAGAATTTAGCCAAAAAATGAAAGCAACTGATCTTCTAATGTGTCTCTCTTTGTCCGCGGACACCAGCAAGCACAAAGTCGAGGAGCTGGCGGAGAAGGCAATGGATGAAGTAACGAAAATGTTCGTAGGAGGAGATCCCTTATGGCAACATGATTTGGATAAAGGAATGGAGGTCCTTAACATGGTTGAGTATAAAAGGAAATTTAACTCTAACTTAGACACCACATTGGATGAGATTATTAAAATCATCGCGGTAGATGCTCCCTTAGACCTCCCTAACTTTGATGAAATTATCGTTACTAGTAATAATAACAATAACAAGCCATCAAAGGAAGAAGACGTTGTCATGCAAGAACAGATCAAGTCCTTGAACAATGTTCATCATGGTTCGCGAGAAGTTAACTATGTACACATGCCTGCAATAAGTATCGTTGAAATCTTAATGGATGTGGTATGTTGATTACTTCTTAGAGTAATTCTTTTACTATAATGAATTTTATGTTAGTTAACATATGGTTTGTTTTCTTAGAGACTTTGGTCATTTGTGTTTTCTGAAATGCTCTCAAGGACTACAGTCCTAGGAGTTTTAACACCCGGAACACCAGAAACCTTTGATGGAGCCATGCAAATGGTAATTCAATTCTCTCACTTATTCTTGTATTTTTCTTAACTTCTATGTTCAGGCATATATTATCGAGTTTTTAGCTGCTTATTAGTCTCCCTCATTCAATAGGGGTTATGAGAGGGTTGCATAGCTAACATGGTGTACTATTGTAGCAAAATCTTATATATCTTTGTCCAATATAATAACCTAGCTTGTTTACTCATAAATATAGAGAGTTTTCTACTTGATATCTGTCTCTTAGTCATCACAAATATATAGGTCATATTTGACAATCCTTTACTTTCAACTATTTTTATTTTTGTACAACAAAAATTCTATTTAATTTGATTTAAAAGGCTTATTTTGAGAACTGAGAAGGTTGCATAGCTGACGTGGTGAATCTTTTGTATAATAACATTCCATTGTGTTTTTTTAGAAGTACAAAATACATTCTCTCATAGGAGAATACCACAGAAAAGATAAGCATATACTACACTAATTAGCTTCATCCTTAGCAATGAATAGTTGACATATATGGTGACAAGAAATTCTGTTGTCATGATTATATATAGATCATATGTTATTTCCTGGACTATAAGTTCCTACTAAGCATTCGAAAACTACTACAGAAATTGCTTTAAAGCATAAAATTTGGTTATGAATTGTGTAGATGTCGGCTGAGTACCATGCTCCCTCTCCTCTTCTTGCAACAAGGCAGAGTTGCTTTGCAAGATACTGCAAAGAGTTGTCCTCCAACACTTGGGCAATCGTCGACATTTCGTTAGGAAGTTTGATGGAAAATCCACTTATGAACTGCAAAAGAAGACCTTCTGGCTGCTTAATTCAAGGCTTACCTGATGGAAACACTCAGGCAAGATTTTATATGTTGCAATGTCCATAACATATAATCTTGTTATTAGTCCATAAACGTAAACAAAATCTTATATTGTTTTCTCGGTCCTTATATAGGTGACTTGGATTGAGCATACAGAAGCCGAAATTGCATCAATTCACCCATTATTCAAGTCACTAGTCAGCTCAGGAATTGTTTTTAGTGCAAAGCAATGGGTTGATACATTATCGCAACAATGTCAGCACCTTGACATGTTAATACAATATAGTCTTAATACTCTAATTAAAGGTAATGATAATCAAATTCTAACCCCCCCTGCACCCTCATCTTGTTACCAAAGCCACCGAATTTGATTTAAATTATAGCTTGTACATGATGCTTATGATAAAGCAGAGGTTAGTCCATTTCGCGTGGAGAGATTACTGAGGCTAGCAGAGAGGATGAGAAGAGAATTTTATGGTGCTACTAGTGCTACCGAAGGAAATGGTTACAAGCCTATATCGATTAAAGGGGGAGACGACGTTTTAATCAAAACGTTAGATAGTGATGATCAAAGCCCTGGCTTATTGACTGTGACTACATCCTCCTGGTTTCCCTTCTCTGCTAAGAAAGTTTTTAGCTTCTTGGGCAATGAAAAAAACCGAACCAAGGTACGTAGTTATTAACATATTATTGGTTATACTTCAAGTATGTGTTAATAACAACTTCTTTATGCTTATGCAATTTATACTCAATTCTTTTAAAACCAAGGCATTGCATTTAGTTGCTCTGCCTCTAATTACATACTCTATACTATTATGTATGTAGTGGGATGCGCTTGCACTCAAACGTGCTTCCGAGGAAGTTTTCCATGTCCACAGTGGTCAAGGTCCAGAAGACATTGTTTCTATTACCAAAATGGTGGTATGTTGACTACATTACACGTTAATTCAGTAAATTTTTCAGTAAGGAATTGTTACATATATTCCTAAGAATATATCGACAGTATTAATGTTCTCTGCTCTTGGAAAATTGTAGGATGGTAAAGGGAGAATTGACACCTTTTTTCTACAAGAAAAACATGAAAGCGCGGTAGCCTCATACGTACTCTTCTCACCCATGACTAATGACTCCCTCACTACACTATCTAACCATGGAAACATCGATGAAATTCCTCTTTTGCCTTCTGGATTCGCGATACTTTCTAACAAGGATTCTAGTCAAGAAGAGGAGGATGCAGGAAGCATAGTGACTCTTTCGTTTCAGCTTTTAGATAAATCATCAAGGGCACAAAATGTTCCTAAAAGATCCATACGTAAGTTGTATAATCTTGTAAATGGCGCACTTTCTTCGATCAGGGCTGCATTATTTGAGGCCCCTGCAAGTGCAAATCATGCTGGTGTAGAAGGATCCTTGTGGTTAATTTAAAAACATTGATGTTCGTCATGTTAAACTTCTTATCCATTATACTCCCGTTGTTTCACTAAAATGGTCACACTTTACTGTTTGAGATTAAAGTTTGATATCTCTAACCTAATATTGCAAACTCATATATACAAACATGTGAAAATATCATCACTTGAGTTGAGATTAGTGGCATACTGGCATGTATATTAAGGCTTGTATGACACGTATTAACTACTGGAATTCAAAATTTTCTAAATTTTTTGGGTGTTTAAAAACTTACGGAGTAGTATCCTCCCTCACGGACTTGTAACAAGACTCAGTGTGAGTCCGATCTCACCTTATATATTCTCATTTACAATGTTACAATAATTAAAGAATAACTAGCTTAAGGCCCGTGCCATGCACGGTAAGTCTAATTTTTAAAAAGAAAATTAATTATATCCAACAAATAAAATTTAATAAAACATACATATCAAATATATAAAATTATAACGTCATAATCTATATTAATCGGCAAAGCAAAATAAATACTACAAAATATTAATAATAAATCACCTTTTATATGTCATATATATATATATATATATATATATATATATATATATATATATATATATATCACCTTTTATATCTAAAAAATCATTGCAATGGAAATAAATCTACTCAGATCATTGAAGACAATCAAGAACAATCAATAATTGGGCAACACTAATCTATATTATTACATTTTTAGTTTATGGATTGATGCTCTACATATACGATATCGTCATTCTTTGTTGCTAAAAAAATGTGTTTGAAGCTAACCAATAATTGTAGTTTAACCATTTTTGTTTATTGTCTTAAAAATTTAATTGTAGATAATAGATATATATCCAAAAAAAAAAAATACACAAAAGGAGATGTCAATTGTCACTATGTCTGACGTATCTTTATTATTGATGAATGTCGAGTGTAATAAATTTATTATCTCAATCAAGTGTCTCAGCAAAAGATAATAATTTTTTTTGCTTTTACTAAGATATTGATTTTTTTTTTAATTTTGTAATTTTACAAAAAAATTAATTTATATTTTACCTATCCCTAGAATTAGACATATGATATAATTGTCAAACACAACATTTATTTTATAGTTATAATATACTCTATAAATCCTTAATTTGTGATAATATATATGCAGTAGTAAAATTTCAGAAATAGAATTCTAATTAATTTGAATATATAGTTATATTGAAATTGAAATATTATATTAGCTAGAGGTATTTGAAAAAAAAATTAAGCGATGTTTTAAAGTAATTTCCTTAACATCTATTATATGAATCAATTTATCATTACTTTTTTGGCAAAATCTTATAATACTCCATTTAAAAGATAATTAAAAAGGAGTTGGAATAATTATTTAGGTAAATGTATATAGAAAAATTATGAACACCAAGTAAAAAGGAATATATATGTCATAAATATAATATAAAAAATTTGGGATGATATTATTATAGAATCAAATATTAACAAAAAAAAAATGGTTATAAAAGGAAGGGGAGTTTTGGAAGGAAAAAACAATACCAGAATGTGACACGTGTCACTCACGGTGTCTATTTTAGTATTAAGTTATTGATTACTTTGTATGAATAAGAAACTAATTTGTATATTTATGGAACGGAAAAAAAAAATGCAAAAATTGCAATCCATGATTTGATACCACCAGACCCAAAAAAACAACAATTAATTTTAAAAAACCGATTAATTAAATTGCTAATATAACCAAACCTAAAATCACATTATTTACATCCTTCGACCAAATGTCATACAGATTGAAGTACTCCCTCTATGTATGAATAAGTGCATCATTTTGACTTTTTGCATTATTCACATACTAATTTTGACTTAATTACTATTAATACTTGTATATAAAGATCAAATACTATTAAATTAGTTACAATGTATATTTTCATAATATTAATTTTTTATATAACTATTACAATATTAAAGATATTAATGGTTAAAATTATGCATTAACATGTGTGTCAGTCAAAGTAATGCACTTAAATAGTACTTCGTACTTTACCCAACCTAACCTAACCTGAAAGTAAGTGATTTAAAATTCTACATGGACACAATAATGTACCATGTCCATGACTCAAATTAAGAATGGCAGTGGGTCAGGTTAAATGGGAGTACCGCCCTATCCTCACCCCAGTGAACTGGGGATGGAGGGAGGTTTGGCGGGTGGTGGGGGCGGGGATGAATATAAAAGAGTGTACCCGCCGCGGGTGATGGGGTGGGTATGGATTTTAGAGTATCGCACCCTACCCCACCACCTGCCTCGTATCTGCCATATACTAATTTTTGTGATGCTTGAAATAAATTTGGAAGAGTCTAGAACATAGATACTGATAATATGTTAAAAATAAATTATTAAATTAATAACATTAACGTCGTATGAATTCCACCGAGTAGATGATAAAAGAGATTTGTTAGAAATGATAATTTTCATATTATTGTGATATAATAGATTATCGTAGCGGGTTTGGGGCGAGCATAAGGTGGGTATGGATATCTAAACGGGTGGCGGGGTGGGGATGGATATTAACTTGTATTTGACGGGGCGGATATGGATGTAATCGTGTGGGTATTGTACCCATCATAAGTGGTGGAGCTGAACCGAGGAAATGATATAAGATTTTTAGGTGGGGATGAATGTGAACGTACCATCCTCCGCATCCAACTCACCCCATTGTTATTTCCCTAGCTCAAACTAGACCTATTGAAACCCAACCCGCTGATTTAAACTGACACCTCTCATTATCAACACCGATAACCCGACCTGAAACAATCCGACCATACCCGGCCCATAGACCAGGTCTAGATCACTCCTCAAAAACGGGTAAAAATATCCTCTATCTTTCAAAACTCCCAACCTAGCTAAAACCCTCTCTCATTCTCATTTCTCAGTCCTCCATTTTCTCTCTCCTCCACAACAATGGCGTCCACCATAACCCGCTCTCTGACCTCCCTCCGCCCCACCACAACCACCACACTCACCTCCTTCAAACGCCTCCTCAATTCTCTCTCCTCCACCACCATCACCCACCCTCCGCCAATCTCCGCCTTCCCTCGCCCAACTCGTCCTTCCATCTTCATCTCCAGCTCAGTCCGAGTCATCTCCGCAACTCGCTTCAACTCTATCCGATGCCGGGTCAACCGCTCTGGACCTTACTCGCCGCTCAACAACAACTCCGGTGGGTCCAATTTTAGCGACCGCCCTCCGACGGAGATTGCGCCGCTGTTTCCTGGGTGTGATTATGAGCATTGGTTGATTGTTATGGATAAGCCTGGTGGTGAAGGTGCTAATAAGCAGCAGATGATTGATTGCTATGTTCAAACCCTAGCTAAAGTTCTTGGAAGGTACATATTTTCACTCTAATTTTTTTAGGGTTTTCTTTGTTGTATCCTGTTATTATTCTTTTACGTCTAAGCGCGTTAATAGATACCTTAATTACACCAATCGAAGCGTGATTTGGGTTGAATTTGTTGATTTTTTTTTCTCTGTTGTGTTTAGGATTTTCATTGTTTAGTGTGAAATGTTGCTTTAATAATTTGTTTTTTTTTGGTTAAACATTTTGAAATGTAAGGTTGCAAATTTTTTTAATGCTGAATTTTAATAAAAAATATTGATTGATTGTTGAATGTTGGAAGAAATGACATTAAAATTTCGTGTTCATTATGTGAATTGCAAGATATGAAGCAAATCAAGTTGTCCTTTTCTTTTGTTTCAACAATTTTAGTGTGCTTTAACCTGATTTCAATTCGAAAGATTAAATGGTACCTATTTAAAATACAATACACTGGTAACTACAAAACCTTTTTTTTTTTTTTTTTTTTCCCAAAACATCTATTCACGGAAAGCTGTAGAGGGTCAAGGCAAATATTCTGTTTTCAAATTAACATCTTCGACCTCAAAACAACTCCAAAAATCGGTGCCAACAACACTAAGCCGTACTATGTATGTGGTTTCTTCAGTTTCATCTCAGGTTCTTGTTGTGTAAATTATGAATGTGATCAAGGCCTGATTTTTGTTATGGTTAGCATTTCATTTTGTGCAAAGACTGCAAACTCATTTACTTTTTGTTGCCTTTTTTTTTTTCTCCTTTCATAAATTTGTGTTTGTATTTGAATAGAATTGTAGATCATATTTATTGGTCATTAAGAAGGTAATCAGGGATTAGAGGGAGAAAGGGTTAGCAAGTGCAGTATAGCTGTGTTCGTGAGTATGATGGTTATCTTATGTTCATGTAACATTATGTTTTTATCTGATGATAATTCAGTGAAGAAGAAGCCAAGAAGAAAATATACAATGTATCTTGTGAGAGGTACTTTGGTTTTGGTTGTGAAGTTGATGAAGAAACTGCTAACAAAATGGAAGGTACGTGACTGTACAATAGTTTCTCATTTGATTGTTGTAAAACTTTTTGTTTAATATTGTTACCATTAATTTTGATGCCTTTTTTGTTGTAGGTTTGCCTGGTGTCCTCTTCGTGCTTCCTGATTCTTATGTGGATGCTGAGTACAAAGATTATGGAGGTAAACAGCTAATGTGTTTCTCTTCTAATCCTCCAGCTCTATGTGGACAAAATAATTTAAGTGTGATGATATTAGAAATGGATAGAGATGAGATAAATAATGTGATTGCTGGGATCAAGAAAAATGTTGCTCCCATTTGTATTAAGTTGCTGCCATTCATGGTTAAATTCCTATTTTGTCCATAATTTGATGCCTATCATCTTCACTCCAGTTTGTCCATGCAACATCTGTGAAATATTAGCTGTCACAATGAATTTCATTTAAAGGACATTGTTTTGAATTCATTTGTTGGAGAGATGCGTTATTTAATACTGAAGATTATTAATTTGGTTGATACTATGCCCTCTTTCCTTTTATTGCAATATACTCCATGCATATTCTATAGTCTTACAGTATCTAGATTACTAGAGAGTTATGAGTTGAGGGGCCTCCTGCAAGAATGATTTGAAGTCAATTTGTTAATATACTGATTAGAATAGCCTTGCCTAAATGTATTTGTCTAAGCTTAGTGATTATGCTTATTGCATACTTCCTCCTTTTCATTTTAGTTGACACATTTCATTTAGGCGCATTTGCCAATGCATAACTTCAAATATGATATCTTTGATTATGTGCAGCCAAAAGTTATAAAAATTTGAAATTTGGAAGTTATATATTGAGACGAATCAAACAAGACCCCACTCGACCATGTTTAAACAATGAACTGTGTATTTTGTTGAATTTATTCAGTGTAGTAGCCGTTTCCTGTAAACTGTTATATGAATCCTTCAAACATTATATCCCATTTGCTGCATTTTGGTTTTCCATTAGCAATATGGTAGCCTTTTCTATTCGGTAGCCAAACTGCAATCATTAATTGAAAGTGAAGATGTGTTTTTAACTGAAGTAATAGGTTAGTCGTGTTAAGTAATGTAAAGAATTATGCTTGTTGCTTTGTTTACATTCCCAATAATGCTTTAACTTGAAAGATGAATTGGTGCAAGGTCCCATCCTTTGACAACTTTTGAGTAAACATAATTTTAACAAATTACCTATGATAAACTAAGGATATTATGTGAAATTTAATCATAATCTGCTGTGTTTTTTTTAAAAAAAACTTTTAGAAGGTTTAGAATATACTCCATATATACTAAGTATTATTCACTGGAGGATAACACAATTTGTGACCGCCTTGGAGCTTCTCTTAGCAATAGTTTTGAAATATTATACTGAAATGCAGTCTTTTTATTATTTTGCAGCGGAGCTGTTCGTGAATGGTGAAATTGTCCAGAGACCTCCAGAAAGGCAAAGGAGAGTGGAACCAGTGCCACAAAGAAATCAAGACAGACCAAGATATAATGATAGGACTAGGTATCAAAGGAGGAGGGAAAATATGAGGTAGACTGCGTGAATATGGACTGAAGAGGACCTGCGCTGGCTAATAACCTGGTTGTTTGCAAGTAATGTGTTCGGCATGGTCATGCTTGCTGTCTATCAGTATTTGTAGTGTCGCACTAGGCTCGCAATAGTCTATCTGTAATTTCAGTGTCACACTAGGTTCAAAAAAGTGTTCTTTTTGTCTCTCCTTGTGGGACTTCTAGTTATGGAAAAGAGAACTTTTATCTACTGTTTAGTTGATTAAGTATATTCGGAAGGACTCGTGTATAAAAATTTATTTTGCAAGGCTGCTAGTTGGTATATTAAAGGATTCTCATCTCTATGACTAAGGACCGTAATCTGCTTTCAGAATTGTGATGGTGAAACAGATCATTTTCTGTTTTCTGTTCCATCTTCACTCTTTCTCAATCTATCTCCGCCGTTATGGTCTTTGGATGGGTATGCTTGTATTATCAATTTATCATTGGAGGTTTTCATTTGGTAAACAATCTGTATATGGTACTTGACCGACGATGAATTCTTAATGAAAGGTAACAATGGAGTCCAATGATCCAGTAAAGGGTTTGTTCAAATTGCAAGTTACTGACTGTTCACGAATGAGAGCATGAAGTTGAATTCAACTCCCTTGATTCCTTGAAGCTTCAATTTGAAGTTATACATGGTAAGTATCAAGTATGAACTTCTTAGAGGGTCTTAAGGGAGCATGCATCTCAATCTACGGAGTTTGTATATTTACGTTTCTGTTTAGCTTCTTGAGTGTAATTAGTATTACTACAAGCTTGTTAGAAGTGACAGTGAAGTATAAATCTTGTGAGCATTGGATTTATTAGAAACAAAAATAAAGTATTACAAACTATTGAGTAATATATAGTCTTGGGCACAAATTGTAAAGAGTTCAAAACGACACTAAAAGGCTAGAACTACAGGTAATAAGAGCTCAAGCAATGAAATGTTCATCTATTACTAACCTAATTTGAAGATTATACCAAGATGATCCTCCAAAAACAAACATCAACTCGCCAAAACCAAACAAACACTAAAATGAACCCAAATAGCTTGAAGAAATATCTAAAAGTAAACTAACACAGCTACACAAGTGTACATCTTTCCGCAGCAAGAACTCCCACCTAAACATTGGTAGTGAAATTAACTTCATTCCTAAACCTAAATTGTTACAATCTACAGCTTTGACTATAAATGACTATTTTCAACTTATACTGATGATTTTCAGGAATGATCCTATTTATTCCAGGAACCATGATGATCAATATTACACTTAGGGAGAAAACACAACTTTCTCCAGGAAGTGATGATCAATAATTTAGAATCACAGTTTCCTACCCCGGTTATTGTCTTTGCTATACTTGTGCTGTTAGGCCTATACACATAGTGTTCGCTCCTCGTTATACAACACCCCCAATTCCAGAGTCTGAAACTTGTTTTTTCTGTCGTTGGCCCCTCTTGTAGTTGTGTTTGCTATGCGCACACAAGCATCCCGATCATTCCTTTCCCAGCATAAAATTTACGGTTTAAGTGAATTAAATATGAGACCCATATATGACCATAAATTAGTCCATTAAAATACCTACTGCATAAGAAAGGGGATCAAATTAAATAATTAATTAAATAAATAAGGTAATCACAAAACTGAAAAGATTACACAAGTATGTGTAAATGACTATATCTAATAAATCTTTCTTCAAAAAAAAACTATATCTAATAAATCTTGCCTATCATCATCAAGAAGCAGTAAACCATTTTCTATTCCCTATACTGTTTTTTTAATGCAACTGTGGAATCTCAAAAATGCAATCCAAGAGCTTTCTGTATTGCCCTTTCTCCTTTTACTGCAGTTTCCGTCATCTTATTTTCATTCGCAAGATATATAAATACCCAAAAATGATGCTGAACAAACACCGAAGTTGCAGCCTACAGAAGTTATGGTCAGAAAATTTTAGTCAGGCATGTGACAAAGATATATAATACACTATGCCCACTAGCCATTCCTATCGACTAAAAGATGAACCAAAGCAAACATTCTTACCAATCCATAATTTCTAAATAGATTTAGTCACCAGACACAAAAGTCCTCTCTTCATAATACTTCCGCTCACTCGCTGCTTTCTTCTCATTCCGTTTCTGCAGAAAATGTCAGGAACAATAGATCAGACAGCAACCCAACAAAATAAATAAGATAATTCAACAAAAAAGAACCCCCCCCCCTCCCCTCTCCCCCTTTCTATTCATTACATAACACCAAACCCTTATATTTTGGAATCAATTTAAATTTCTAAAATGCCACGGAAAAAATCAATTTCTAGAAATTTGCTAAACATGACCTCCCCACCCCTTTGTTTCCTTTATAAATGGCTCTTGTAATTTAAGATGGAGAGGAAAAAAAAAAGGCGCACAAATGCATAATTTGGTGGATGTATAAAGGTGTCCAAGTAGAGATAAACCTACATCAACTTTCAGATGAATACAAAAAGAAGAAATAGCTGATGGGAATGAGAAATGCACACCTGATAAGCTTCGTGATTAGCAACAATTCTTTTAATAATTGTTGTGGTCGTTATGTCCAATGGACTTTCTATAACTTTGAAGATGCCCATACTTATAGGGACAGCATAAGGGTTATCTTCTTCCTGTAAAATACAATTCACGCTTTTTAGTATCAAGCAGAGATCAGATAATACACTGAAGCGACGGGAAAAAAAAGGGATAATTTACCTGCTGGAAGTCATCACTCTCAGCTACAGTTCCATGGACCACCAATGAGATATTGAAAGTTGTAATCTGCACCAGCAACAAACAAGTAAATATACAAAAATGCTAATAATGTCGTAACATAGAGTAAGCTTTGATTAATGTCAAAAACAAAAACAATTATTTCTCTATATTAAAAAAATTGCAAAACAGAACTTTTAGGTAAAAAGAGAAATGGAGCAAATTAACATGAAGAAAAAAAAGGCGATGAAGCAACTGGACCATTTGTTTATTAATTAATAAAAAAATAAAAATAAAAATAAAAAAAACAAAAGATAACCAGTACAGGCACAGCAAACCATAAGGACTTCTACAAAATCCTTGATAAAAGAAAAAGGGAGCATTACTTTGTAGTTTGTACTTTAACAAGATGCTCAATAATCAAATATCCAAGGGAGTGTCAATAGAATAAAATCCTATGTCCATTCACTCCATTGTCATGTTTTCAAGTGATAGCACGACCATTTAGGCTAATTTAGACTAATTATCTCTCATTCTATTGCTCGCCAGCAAAAATCAATTTCTCTGTACTGTTCTATATTAGAGGTAAAACCTTCAATTCATGATAAAATCATAATGATATTTAAGCATATATATCATCTAAAAAGATGAGCAACTCAGTATGTCAAAAAATAACAATTTCAGCAACATGTTTGCCTCTTTTCAAGGATCCAAGTGGGTAAACAGAATGTGAAAGAATGGGGTCATTCATAACAGAGCCAACCGGGGGAGGGGGAAGCCAAGAGAAATTATACTGGTGTAAATGTTAACACAGCTGAGCAAACAGAAAGATTGAGCGCAATATCTTCAATTTTTACGAGAGCAAAACTATCTTGACTATTGCTCTCCTCTGTCAATTCACAAAGTTTGTATAATGAAAGGGGGCACTATCAACAGGTGAAAAGAGAAACCACAAGCTGCCAAATGGAAAAGAAAACTAACCGTATCTTTAGACACTTCCCAAGGAGCACCAATGATGACCTCGTCTACATAGCGACATGCCAAGACACTTAGGCTTCTTTCATGAAGATTCATGATTGGTTGATGACTTCCTCTTTTAGCACTGTACAAAGTTACATACAATAAATTAACACTATAAAACAAAAGATCCAAATTACTTTCGATTACAAGGCTTTACAGTTGAACAACATTCAAGAGGAAGGGAATCAAGATTTAAAAACTGATAGCTGCAGTTTCCTGAACCTTTTACAGACAAGGAAAGGGTCAACCTTCATGAAGCTTTTTATTTTTATTTATTTTTTTTTATTTGGTGTAAATTGTATCGATATGAAGGTCAATTATTTCCCCATGGGATCCATTGAAGAACATTTCATCTCATCCAACACAGATTGATTGACATAATTGACTAAGTCAAGGGATGAATAAGTGGGCTCTTGAAAAGTAGGTACAACATTAATCCCCTTCCAACTATTATTATCCCAAGTTTAAGAGTTAAACTCGGAGGGTTCAAACGCAGATAACTTCAAGGAAGATATCACAAATTTCAAAGTTATAAACTTTCAATTACTTATGGAGGCTAAGACTTCACGCCATTCAGTTGTAATTCCTACTGAACACGTCATATCATTATTTTTCAATCTACCTAGTACAAATGCACACAACTTCAGAAAAAGACATCATTGATTACATAATTTTCAGTAGTCAGGTATTTCAAGGAGGCTCCAAACAATTCTGTGTTTATGGCTGTTGATTGGTGCACTTCAAAATGATGTCAATCTCATCCATACAACTACAGTATACCTAGCTTCAGCTTGGCGCTTCAGTTTGGCTTCTTGCAGACACAAACTGATGAGTGTATATTGATCTTCTCCCATCATGTTTAGAGTGACTAGACTACTAGAGCCTGTGTAAATGAATCGGCAATAATTAAGGTTTCTTCATTTCTCCATCTTCCCCCCACCTCACCCCAAAAAGTTATTTTTACAAAAATTGCTTAAAATCAGAAAATTCAACCAGAACAGTTCCAAAATTAATCAGTCTTCCTATAATAAAATCAAAGTTCAAGTTATTCTAAATATCCAACATTAAGGAATAATTCAGAGAGAAATTTAATTTTGATTAAAGGTTTACATAAACTTGCGTCTCCAACAACCTCCTCCCTCTTCCAGTTTCCTTGAACCCCCCAACGTTAAATCAATCGTAGTCTTTATCCTCTAACAATATCTTCTCCCTCCCAGCCGCCTTCCCAAATCCTCTTCCAAACTCTACAAATACCTAAGAGTCACCCCCCCCCCCCTCCCTCTTCCTTTTCAATGTTAATTTTTTCTGTACATGGTCTAAAATCTTAAATGACCCCTGAGTCCCCTCCCCCAAAGAGTACACAAAAGTTGCTCAAAATGTTGTGTTATTTGCCAACCGCGAGAGAGAGAGAGAGAGAGAGAGAGAGAGAGAGAGAGAGAGAGAGAGAGAGAGAGAGAGAGAGAGAGAGAGAGGAGGAGGAGGAGGAGGGGAAATAGAGGAAAAAAAAAAACACTTCTAGCAAACTCATAAAGTTCAGATAGGCATACCCACACCACCCTCATCTCACACCCTAACCTTATTAGGTGAAAGAGGAGGTGTAGTGGACAGAAACATTGGTAGGAGGATTATGTTGGGGCATGGGGGTAGCATAGGAGGTGGATCAAGCCACTACAGCAGACGACATATATGTATATAAATAAATAAAGACAACTACAGAAGACATGACAAAAGGCCCTAAAAGTTTGAACTCTAACTTCAAATATCTCAAAAGAAATACGAAGTATAAAATCCAATCAAATAAAAATATAAAATTAAACTAAATCAAAAGATTAACTTCAACTTCTTTATAGGCTAACATAATAACTGAAGGAAGACTAGAAGAGGAAATTAATTTCTACTAACTCCATCATCCAAAATTAGTTTCTTTGAGGGAAAACTGAAGTTTTAGGGAACGTATCATTACATAACTGATTCATAACTCGATACATAAATTCTTCCCAAGCATTTGTTTATTCCATTCAAGTCAAGAGTAGTGTTAAAGGATACCCAAACGATTTTAAAAATGTACTTGTGGGTGCGAACAAGGTCATATGACATACAAAGAAGGAAAAAAGGACTTAAATTTTAGGGCAAAGAGATTATTGTTATACGGGCAATTACAATCTATGTTATATAACAGAAGATACTAATAATGAAATCAATATTGAAGTGAAACCCCGTCCTGGAATTATTACACGAGAAGGGCATAGATTATAACCTGACAGTCTGGTCAGTATGGATTCCAACAAGAAGAAAATCTCCTAGTTCCCGAGCAAGCCGTAATATCTATGAGTCAAAAGAACATCGCAATTGAAGTTAGCATATAAATTTCATAGGTATACAGCAATAAACTAAACAATGCAAACTAGAATAACAATGTGCTCCGGCTCTATTCAACTTTACATGTAGTATTTTGGATCAGATCAGTTCAGTTTTTCAAAACCTTGTTCAATTTAGCAAGTTTAGTTCCACATATGACTAAATAAGTCATAAGGTAAAATAGCCAATCCAATAGCACATATAAGTCTCATAAGTTATACAAGTCATAAGATACAATAAGCAAATTCAGTTGAATATAGAAGCTTAAAAATTCTATGCACCTTAACGTACAATAGATAAAAGCCGCTTAAAACTAATTTCTCTTACAAAAGGGGAGGGGGAGAAGCGACAGGGGGGATAAGAAGGTGCAAAGACAGACAAGAAAATTATGCTATAAAGCATTAAAGAAGAGAACAACAGCATACCTCTACATGCCCTGCATGGAAAAGATCAAAAGCACCATCAATATAAACGATACGTGAATCTGGTTTGGGGCCCTGTAAAAAGAAGGAGAAACAATAAGTTAATAAGTATCATAAGGGCTACACAATTCATGCATAAAATCAAGCAGAGCATACAATTTAATTCAGACTATCAGTTGAATTCATGCACTCTAATTATACATGGTATATACCTAGTTTGCAAGAAGTGCAAAAATGCCTCAAGTCTTTTAATATCTTTCTAGATGTAAGATTTCAAAAGTCAGAGCATATCTGCATACAAATTCAAGGATAAATGTGCAACATACAATGACGTAACTGTAAATACCAAATCATTGGCATAATATACTTCTTCAGTTTTCCCTCCCTCTTGTTGTCTTTTTTTCATGCTCATGGCCCAACACTTTTTATCTACAAACCCTTGAATTTAACTGAGCTCGAGTACTATATTGAGCACACTGTAACGTATTATCCCTGAATTGAACTTACCTGAACTTAAAAGCCTTAAAATTTACAAATCAGAATTTATTAGCCCTAGATTGAGCGTATCTGAAATTAAAATATTCAGTTACATGCCCTGAGCCGAAGTACAGAACTTACTTGGACTTTTCTGAGCTAGTTAACTTGTGTGGAAACCTGATCTTTAAAAACACGGAAAGAAAAAAAGGCCCAAGCCTACTCATCTACATTTAAGAGGCTCTTTTAACCAACTAAACCAACCCCTGTACAGCTAGATCACATGCAAGTTCTTCTACGATTATACTATGTCATAGGCATGTGAAATTAACAATCAAAAACTAAAAGATTATCCTCACACTATCACCCACGCTTATCGCCCCTTGTTTCTCACTTCACATTAAACCCTGCATCCCCTTAGAGGCTTAGATCTTCTGACCAATGCACTGAAAGATCCACCACCTTTATTCCCAAACCATTATAGGTGCATATTCTTTCTCTATACTGCTGTGACCACTTTACTTGAGTAGCTTCATTTCCAACCTTATCCTTAAATGTGTGACTAAATAAGACACCCATCGTATCATCCTCATTTTGGTGAAATACCTTGCAAATACGTTAAAGATTCATTTCCAACATGTAATTAGGGGAAGCTAATGAAGTGGCTTGCACTCTGGCTCATCTTAGCCTCATAGACTACTCTACTAGAGTGTTGGTACTTAGTTGCTTGCCATCCAAAAAAAAAAAATGAAAAAAATATTGAAAGCCGTTGTGAGAATTGGTGGATGATTTAATCACCACATACTTAATTTTAATTCCCTCAAATGCCTGGTCCTATATATTTCTATTTCTTGTGGAAATGTTCACACTCAAATTTTTGATACTGTATAGATTTAATTTGATATAATAGATTAAAGATTGTGATTGCGGTTTTATTAATAGTCTGCAAGTTGGATACAACACAGTGGTGATAGCACTGGTGCAACAATAGCAAATAATTTGATAGTTTATCTCATATTAAGATGATTGATCTGATTTTCCCGTAATAGCATCAGCAATATCTCTATACAAATTTTTGGATAAAATTTAGCATTTCAAATTTACATCCTCTTTCATTTGTTATATCCTTTCTATCTCCCCCTGTTCTCTCTCACTTATAATCTGAAAGTCTACCTCACCAGAACAGCAAAGCAATTCATCAATTTGTTAGCTCCAATACCCCAATTTCATAGGGTCATAGGGGAGATCAAAGGAGTACCAAAATCTTCAAAATTATGCTATGTTTCTCTTCCTCTCCTCATTAGTTCTATCCTTTCCATCCCCCCACCCCCCCCCCCCCCACCCTGTGCTCTCTCACTTATAATCAGTAAGTCTTCATCAACAGGACAGCAAAGCAATTCATCAATTTGTTACCTAACCTCCAATACTCGAATTTCGTGGGGCCATAAAGGAGATAAAAAAAGTACCAGAATTTTCAAAGAATCTGCTCTGCTTCTTTTGCTCAATATTAGCTAGCTAGCTCACTTCCCACCTCACCCCAGTGATCCCACCCCCTTCTCCCTAATCCCATAAATTTTTCATCTACATTTGCCTGATTGAATCAAGGTTCTTTCACATTTCTAATGGCTATTGTGCACAATATGGAATGATCATACTGACAAAGAGCTTAGTAATCTCCTAGTGTCTAAATTTTATAGATATAGGTCTGACTACTGACTAGTAAACCCTAGATCTGTTAATTGAAAGTGATGAGGCTTTGAAAAAGGATCTGAATTCTATTGTACATTTTCAGGATACAGTGTCATCATGTCAATTTTCTATTCCAGTAATGATAAAGACTGACCAAATTTAAACACTGAAGCTTAGTACTTTTGCTTTATTCAAAGTTAGTATCCTTTTTTCCAGCAGAAGAGAGCAACAAGAACAATAAAATATATACAAAATAGGAGGTGAGGTGTTTAAATTTTTGCTTAGAAAGTATAAACTTATCAATTTCACATTGGGATATGAAACTAGGTTTACAGCATAACTGCAACGTGACTATTGTTATGTTAGCTCCCACCTATCTTTTTCTGACAGAAGTTATATGTTGTTATATAAGTTAAGTGTATATAAGAAAAATAATTCACAGACTAAAACCCAAAAATACTAGGAGTGAGAACCCATGACAAACCACAATTTAAAAATGCTATCCATACCCATTTCACACACCAGGATATACAGCTGAGCAAAATAACAATGTTCTTGCTTCAAGTACTCAAGGGGTAATGGTTTTCCGTTTCTACACTGATTTGTTATGTGTCTGCAATTATTCTAAGGCAGACTTTGTGAGATTAGCATCATTTTTTAGAGTTTATATCCAGAAAGATACCTTCAACAATCAATTAAAATATAATGAAATTGTTTCTAGACCACAATGACTCAAGATATCATGAATTGATTCATGTTTCAAGTGGTCTTAACATATCTAATACTTCGGATCACCTAATAGTCAATGTACAGTTGTGCATGATGATGATTTATCATTTCCAAAGATAGCAGCATGACTTCTGCAATCTAATCATGTTTCCAACTCTTACAGAAGTATCCTAATTTAGTGATATTTGAGGATTCAAATTTACGAATGTAACAATTTTTGTATGTGAAAGACTGAAAAAAAAAAAAAAGGAAAAACCCCATTCCGAAAGTCTATACCCTAGTTTATAGGGGATGTACATACCTTTCCATTTGAAAACTGAACAATTCTGCGAGATGTTGGAAGAAAGTGCGAGATACGAGTTCCACCACCGTCATCAAACTTTTGGCTATGGCCATGGCTGAACTGTCTCTGAAGAGAAGAGTGGTTGGATTTTTCATTAGAAGACCTTTCTCTAACACAAAGAAGCATACGTCCTGCACAGGGACACTAAATGTATCAGAAAAACACATAAGTTACTAACAGTACCAAATGAAAATCACATGCATCAGTCTGAAGCTACTTAGCAAATAACTTATTTATCAAAGGTGCAGCAGGTGAACATTGTCACTGAACCAAATGCCAAAAAGCTAGAAATAACAATTTTACATCAGATTAAGCAAAATGCAGGACAAATAAATCAAAGATTAGAATAGAGTTACTACCAACAATGTCTGTACTGGACACTCCTTCTGTACGTTTGATCTGCTTAAAACGACCAGCTCTTTTGGCTAGAGCGTAAGCATCAGACCCGTCAGGAAGAAGACAGGGGTCATCCCCATGAATAATGTAGTCAATATTATATTCATCAAAAAGCTTCTTCATAAAATCTTCAGTAATTGCATAAGGAGCATCAGGAATGACCTCATCCACCCATTTTACAGCTTGGACCATGATCAACCTGTCAAAAAGTTTGATTTTAAAGAGCTATTGTGATCACAAACTCTAACAGAATAACTATGCAACAGTTGACAATATCCCTTAATTTCAGTATCAGAGTTAAACATGTAACAATAACTTCATCCAGATTATCAACAATATTTGCAAGCTTTAAAGTCGTAAAATAATTAACATATCAATCTTAAGTTAATGCTCTTCTTATTACCTAAGACACTAATTCAAAGGAAATAGAAATATCTTCCATATAAATACTTCACATGCTCTCGTCATACTAGCGATAACAATTTAATGACATTCCATAAAAGAAACCTCACAACCATATATAGAAGTTTTTGTTTCCCAAGGGAACAAATAAAACATCTCTAGCAATTGTAATCCCCAGAGTCAGCCTAAGAACATCATATCCAAAATCCCTAAGAATCTCATTATCAAAGATAAACAAAATGGTGATCTCTACTTCAGTCAATTGTCATTGGAAATTGTAACTACTCAAACATGCTAACACATACATACTCAACTTTACTAATAATCATTTAGATTCCACAATTGACAACGTAACAACACTCAAAACTACAACAATCAATAATCTATGACCGCCTTTGCCTCAGCAGAACAAACCAAAAGACTTGCTGGCTAGCTCGCGCAACAACCTAATTCGGGTTTTTTAATACAAATACATAAAATTTAAGCCTCATTTAGCTCATTTGAGTAAAGACACCAATGACAGGCATAAAACATCACAAAACAAAATAACCCATTTCACAAATTTCAACATAATTCAAAAGAAGCAGAACAAAAAACACAAGAAATTCACATAAAATCATATAAAAGAGACACCTTTCGTGAAGAGGAGTAACAGGAGGACCCTTATTAGCAGTAATTTCAGCATCACTAACAACACCAACAACTAATTGATCCCCAAGATTACGAGCTTGACGAAGAGCATTACAATGGCCATAATGCATCATATCAAAACACCCATCCATATAAACACGAGTTGGCTTCTTCTTCTTCCGAACCCATAATTCTAGGGTTTCCGATAACCCAGTAGCATGAATTCCCCAAATTGATAACCCTAATGCCACACCTCCCACCACACATTTCGCAATCAACCTCAATTTCTTTTCCCCATTATTCTCAACAATTGAATCCGACGCCATTGTTATGAATTTGATGATTCTTTTTCTCTTCAAATTCAGCTGCGCATAATATCAACAATAATGGGTGATTCCGATTATTGCCTACGATTTTCTGGGAAAATGGGGCTTTTGATTGTTGACGTTAAAGATGATATCTTTATGATTTTCTCTGAGTATGTTGTAGAGAAATCTGGAGGAATTGATTCTGTCACAGAAAAAGTGATGCTTTATTATCAACAAGTTCTCAACTTAAAGCTTAAAGTACCATATTAGGCAATAAATATGTCTTATGTAGTTATGTGTGATTTGGATTCACAGTTGAAAAGGTACTCTGAGACTTCTGTGTGTGTTAAGAGGGTACTTTCCTTAGATAAAAGGTACTTTCCCCTAAAGATAAAGGGTTTAAAGGTACTTTGTGTCATTGTATCAGTAGTATGTTAAAATAGGGTGTTAATCCGTGATCGATTTCGGTTCAGGTTAAATGGTGTTGGAAAGAGGACGGATCGGGTGGATATAGGTTTATTTTGCCGGTGATTAGTTTGAGTCACTTTTAAAAATTAGTGTGTTGGTTTACATTAGTGCGGTTTCAAATTGAACCGGGTCATAATTATAAAATAAGGAGGTCATGTCCGATTTTAGTTGAAACATGTTGAGTGTATTTAGGTTCATATTGGTTCAGGTTAAAACCGAGTCAAGATGTAATCAGGGCAAGTCATACTTGATTCTGATTCAAATGGGTCATATTAGAAAACATAACCAAATATGACTACCCCAGTTATAATCGTAAAAAAACTTGATTTTTTTAATGGAATGTTATAAAATGATAGATGATATGTTTCTTCGAGTTTTTCTCAAGTTAAAACAATGTTAAATAGTAAATGCCCGTGGGTTAATTGGGTCGCATGTTGTATACGCTTCATGCATATCGGGTTAAGGCCCTTACGGGTTGAAACGAGTCAGTTATTCGGATTTACCCGGGTTGTAAATGACTTGGATTGACTAGGAGTATTACAAATTGTAAACGATTTACATAAGATAGATTGGGGTTGTTAAAAGTTTTTGTATAATAGGATACGAGTTTAATTTCTCATCTAATCTTGTCATTGTATATAATTTTCAAAAATTATGCATGAGATAATTCAACTCTTTCCCTTCTTTTTGAAAATTAATTGGTGTGTGAATGTTGGGGCAAAAACTTGTCAACAAGCAATTGAAACCCTAGCGCTTGGGGTCGTCTAGAGTGCCTTGAAGGTATACGCCCCTAAAGTTGCTATCTTTAATGACAAAGACTAACTAACGTTTCAGTAATTTTGACAAGAATTACTTGTAAATAGTTTTAAAAGAAGGGATATAACATGAAATGAACTAGATAGAGATATTGTATATTCAAGTCAAACAACATACACAAACATAATTATAAGAACAGATTATTCAAGCTTGTCAATAATTAGACATAATGAGAGAAGAAAATAAAATTACCTTCCTCATTGTTGCTACACAATCAGTTAACAGGTTTCAATACATGGAAGATGTATTATAAACTAAACTAACCTATACTATAAAAGGCTACACTTATCTAAGACTAAGAAAAAACTAGTCAATACAGATTGCACTAATATACAAGTGTACAACTATATACAAAATCAAGTTCTAAAAATCATCACCTGCCAAAAGATATCTGTTTCATTGAGGTAGACGAATGGCCGTGTCACCATTTTTAAGCTATTGGCAATCAGGACTTTTCTCATATTTCTGAAAGAGTTCAGATGCTTTCAACATGGACAATTCTCACCATGCCAATTTAATCAATCAAACCTTAATTAAGGCGGCTTGAACAAAACATGGAACTTGACAAATCGCAGCCAACAAGCTTATGATTGCTCACTATTACAAGCAAGTAGTGTCTAATTCTACTCATTTGATTATTTGAGGAATCCATAAACAAAAAACGATTATTTGAGGAATCCTTACTAGGAGGGAATTAAACAAAAAGATGACTTGATTGTTGGGGTTATTCTATCCTACTTCGAAGAAATATGAGTAAACAAGTCAAAAGGGTTGAAATAGAGTAAAAGCTGCTGGAAATAGGAGTATATAGCAAGTCAAACCCACGTACAAAAATAATATTATATCAATCAATTTTCAAGTAAAAGTTTTCTTTTTTAATGGGTTGGGCTCATTTGGGTTGGGAACGTCCAAAACTAGCCGAACTGTTCCCATCTCCCATCCTAGAGCCGTACACAAAAAAATCTTCCCATACCACTTTTCAAGGGTACGTCACTAGAAATGGCTCGTCAATGGTGTACTCGTGCTTCCTTGATCTAAAGGGTAACGTTATAAGCCAAATAGCAGCACAAGTGCAACAGCAATTGAATTGAAGTGTATCTTAGACAAGCTTGTAAATAACAAATATGGCAAACAAAAAAAAAAAACATGAACTGAAACTCTGTCTAGCAAATGGATAGGTCGTTGATAAGTGCTAGAAGCTTATAAAAAATCCTAAACAGGCTAAAAAGAGTGAGTGTACAACACTAACACGTACCTTTGTAGCACCTTTTTGAGCATGTCAGGACAATCTTAAAGTTAACTATGCAATTGCATATCTATGAAAATTATTAACAAGCCAAAAACAAGTTGTAGTTATCATTGTAGACCTTTCCAGGCCCATGTCATGTCAACCCATCGACCTATAGGCTATAGATAGATGGCAAAGTTGAAGAGCAAGCGCCAAGTAAGATACGAAGTATGACAAAGGCAACATACCGATTTAACCCAAAACCTATATTTCACTTAGACTACATTTCTCGATTTTAGTTTTGGGCAAACTTTTCATAGACTAATTAAGTTAATAAAAATAATTTTTAAAATCCACACTGATCATAAAGCATTCCCAAAATCAAATCACAAAATAAGTTGTGGAGATAAAGAAAGGATCTACAAATTATGTTTGATGCATTAATCAAGAATTATGTTATAGATTGGATCTACAAATATGTTTGATACATTAATCAAGAATTATTTTATAGAATAACAGAAAGGATCTACAAATCTGTTTGATGCGTTAATCAAGAATTATGTGTTTTTTTTTTGTTTTTTTTTTTTTTTTTGACAATTAATATATTTGCTTATGCATAAATCAAATTATTAAAAAAAAATAGATACATAGAAGAATTGAAAATTTTATGATGAACACATATTGACACAAATCAAGTACAAACTCTTAAATAGACATGGTTCACATTAATTTATTGTGAACCACTAATAATAGAGATACTATGATCGTTTATTAATAAAAAAAAGTCACTATGTTAAAGTAAAGGTTATTATGTTAAAATAAAGTGATTGTGTTTTTATAAAGGTCATAAGAGATTAATTTTTTTTAATGAAAATTTTAAAATAGTGATCAATATGATAATAAAGGTCATCAACATACTTCAGGTTTGTAATAATATTAAAAATCACACAAGGTTTAGTAAAGGTTAATATGTTAAAATTAAGGTGACTATATTTAATATTAGGGTCACTATATTCAATATAATGTCAGTTGCGCACGTATAGACCTGAGGTCCACACAAGTTTTTCTGCAAATCAAGATTCTATGTTTTTCTTCATGTATAAACTACCAAAAATGTGAAAAGTCAATAAGGTAATAATCTTTTTAATAACGTTGGAAGTACTTTGTTACTCTGTATATTGATAGAAGCATGCAAGCATCATTTGAGATTTGTGAATTGTGAGTTTGTGACATACAGATTAAGATTAAGGCTTGTTTCGTTAAAAAAAAAAAAAAAAAAAAAAAAAAAAAAAAAAAAAAAAGACTAAACAAGGAATAATACATTATTAAAAGGAAATATGTGAATAATGTCAAAATCCAAACGTATCAACTAAAAATAAACCAAAAAATAATTATAAAATGAAATGTTTTCCAATAAGTCCAATTTTTTCGTTGTAAACTTGTAACTTTGTAATGGATTTCTTCTACTACCTTTAAATACTTGAATTAACATGACATGATTTGTTATACGAAGTATGCAAATCCATTATCCATACTTTTTCTTGGTGTTATTCTAAGATTTAAGCCATTGCACAACTTCTCAATTCATTTTTTATTGTTCATTACAATTGACTGTCTTTTACAACAGTATCACTTAACAGGTCAAACTCATATGCATGACAACCTCGAACATCATTCAGGCTAATGACGAAATATTAACAGGTCAAGCCCTCTCACCTATATTGTATTGCCAAATCAGCAACTTTTGTGTGCGGCTGGCAAACACCGTGTAGCCAGCTGACACACACCAAGTAACCCTTGATCGACGAATAATCCCTAATCGACCGAGTAATCCCTGACCGAGTGATTAATCCCTGACCGACCGAGTAACCCCTGACCGACTTAGTAACCCCTGACCGAGTGACTTATAGCACTAACAAAGTAACCCCCATAATGGTTGTCCACACGGTGTGGCCAGTAAGAATGGCAACGGATTGGATTCGGGCCAAATGCGGCTAAATCCGGATCCGGTTCATTTAGTAAATGGACCCTGGACTCGGATCCGAATCCGAATCCGATCCGACTCATAATTTTTGGATCCGAATCCGATCCGTTTATTCGGACCTTCGAATGATCCGATTTTTTTTATTTTTGTGTGTGTGTGTGTGTGTGTGTGTATGTTTGTAATGTATGATATATTTATAATTGCTTGTATTGTCCCTTATAAACTTTATTTCTTATATTATATTGGTACGTAAAAAAATTAGAAAAAACATAGGGTATAAAGTCTAAAATTAAGTTACATAACAAAAATTTGCTACAAACAAGCAAGCAATTGTCCCGAGTTATAAAGCATATCCTCATATATACTCGGACTCAGTCGGACTTTGACTTTGTGCAGGGTTCAAGTCCGCTCCACCTCCTATTCGGATTCGGATTTGGACTATTTTCAAATGAATTCGGATCGAGTTTTTTTCTTCGGATCGGGTCGGGTCGGATTCGAATCGAACTCGGATTGAATTGCCATCCCTAGTGGCCAGCCACATATAAAAGTTTGTGTTGCCCAATTGATTGTTCAAGCACACCCTGTAACTTATTTGTATAAGGTATCCATTGAGCTAAGCTTAAGTCGTGTATTGAGTTCCACAAAAAATTTCCCCTCCATAACTAGCTCTACAAGATATTGCTCCATCTGTCCCTTTTTTTTTTGCTCAATTATACTTTATGAGTTAAATTTTAAAAACCTTGACCACACAGTATCTTTAAATTTGTTAGAAGTAATATAATCATGAGAGATCGATCTTATTGTATTCGTCTAAATATCACTTTCTTATGATTTTTGAATAAATGAATTCAAAGATTAAAACATTCTAAGATGTATAAAGATCGTGAAAATTCAAATTGAATACTCCCTCCGTTCCTAAATAATTGACACGTTTGACTTTTTTCACTATTTACATATTAACTTTTACCATCGTTTTTTTATTAATGTATAAAAACCAAAATTTATCATGAAATATATAGGTATTAATATAAAGTTTTATAATATCTACTTTTTTAATTTTTTTTATTAATATTTAATTATATGCATCTAAGGTCAAAGTAGTGCATTGGCAATGTGTGCCAAGTTTGACTGTATTAATTATTTAAGAACGGAGGGAATAACAAATAACGATTTCCTCCTTTTCTTTATAATTGCAACACAATATTTAATTTTTAGCAAGTAGGCAAGGTGATTGGCTTCTATGTTTTAATCGGATGCCAGTTGCTTGGCATGCGGTTTAAGAAAGACATTAGATTAGGTAAATGGACAAATTATTTTTTTTTTTTTTTTTTTTTTTTACCATGATACGGAAAAAGTGTTAAGCCGTTATGGACTTATGGTTTAAATTTTTAATTCCGTAGATAAATTTGTCCGTTGACCTTCTCTAAACTCTTCCTCAAATAATGTGTCAATAAGATGTGTTGCAACTACTTCCTCTGTTTTTAAGTTTTTATTTACTTGCAAGTTGCAACATAGCCTTGTGGCACCCGCTTTGAGGTCCAGATTGTATAATGTAAACGAACAAGTTATTTAAAATAATTTTTACACATGATACCTAACTGTACTCTAATCCTCGTGTTAGTATTATGTTGATAAAATCGCTGATTTACCTTCACTAATCATCTCCAAAAACTACTTGCCTACAAGGTATGATGCAAGTAATTAAAAAAAAAAAAAAAAAGAGAAAGTACGAAGTATACAAAGAAAACCCCTTTATTCCTACAACCAAAAAACAACAGATAATGAGACTATGAGAGATGTATGTACTTTGGCAACAATTGACAGAGGATAGACAGGGAGTTTTCGGGGGAACATGTGATGTAGAAAACGCCAACATCGTCAAATAAAAGGAAAAAAGGCAACTCCAAACAACGCCAGCATTTATGTTCTGTAACTTTCAACCAAAGTCGATAGAACCAACAACTCACTCACGCCAGACGCCAGCGCCCGAGAGTGCATCAGTGCATGTGCGACTACTTGAATTGTTGTTGCTATGTTAGTTAATAAACAAAACACAGCAACAGCATACAAACATTTAAGCAAGAGAGAATATACAGACATGCTGCTGCTTGCTGGCCACATAAACTTTGCGTGTTTGGGGCTGCATTGTTATTCACGTATCATACCAGCGATTCCGTTATTTGTAACTAACTAGTATAGAGTACTTCGTAGTTAAGACTTTATATCTACGGTTATAAAACGATCTGAGAATGATTCAGAGAAATTTGAAAAGACACGGAAAAAACTTGTGCTTCAATTTAATATGCATGAACATACTCATCTAAATTGCCTAATCAGATATAACATGTAACAGGTCATACCAACTCACACAACTCTTTTTTTTCCCCCTATATTATACTCCGAATAGAACAAATTAGAATTCGTTTTATATTCGGAGGCTAATTCTAAACGCGACCCACTAGCAACTATGTTGGGACTGTGACATGACGTCATGAATGATGGCTATCATGTTAAGCTGTGGCGAGGCCTTTGCTTCCCTAATATAGACAAAAAAAAAATTTAAAGCTCGAATGAGCCACAAGAACAATACAAATTACAAATAAAAATTAGATGATTAAAAACATGACATTTACGAGTATCACACATAGGCAACACCAAACCATCAATCTTAATCACTAGGCCACAACCTCAATTATTCCAGAGTATGAATTTTACTCTGTAATTTACTGTAAGTCCAATTTACCTCTCCAAAAACCCTCAATTGTTTTACTAGCAACATACTTTTGTCGATTTAATACTCTGAATTGGGTACTTTTGCCAGCACTAAAGAAAAAAGGATCCACTGATTTCTCACATGCATAACGGAAGAAACAACTGGAGGCACCATTATTTACGCACTGACTACTCATCAGAAGGATTCTATATTGTACTTTTACTGATCTAACAGACTGAATTAATTTGAAATTTGGAATTTTTTATACATAACAGAATCTACATGGACGAGGCAAATGATTAATCTCAGTAACCAAAATTTCATTCTATTTTAAAATCAGAATTAACAAGACCATCCATCCAAACTCCTAAACACAGGATTCAATCATAATTAGTTGCTGCAGACACTTCATCTATGCACCATTAATTGCACTTTCATTGTGAGTTGCAAGTCCGTCCTCGAGGTTCTTCCCATTCATTCCATTTCGTTGTCGCTGTGGAATTTCAAAACAAGCAAACTGATCAGCAAAAAATACATCATAAACAAAAATTGTAAAAAGCTGAGAATTGAAACAAACTGCGTTACCCTATCCATGGGATCTACGGAGTTTCCGTTCAATAGCTTGTGGTTTTCCTCCTTGTTCCAGCTATCCTTTTCTTTGTTGCTTATGGGAAGCAAAAGAGATGCACCGACACTGGATCGGTCAGGAATTTCTGTGCCACCATAAACCAAGAATTTAACAAATGATATGAAGAACTATACCACTAAATCTTTGGAGAGAAAGAAGTTCATAAAGCACCACTTACCAGGAAGTTTCTTGTCAACAAAGAAAATAACCAGATTGACCGTATACCTGAGAGTAAAACATTTCATTTTTAATAAATTATCTGCAAAACTGTATTTATAAAATCAAAACCCTGAGATTATACTGAGAACAACCCATACCACGCCACAACAACATCCACGGTATAATGTTTGCGAGATGCAATGATCAATAAACTCTGGACCACAGCAAGTAGCCAACCCAACTGCTTAATTAACCTGGATTGATCCCCAACAATAAATTATCAAGCACAGCCAGATAAACATAATTATGATAAGAAAGAGACTAGTCAAGAAGCAATAGAGAGATGTAATTACATTTAAAACAACTACAGAATACCATCTAAAAAGAGTTTGAGAACATGAACTTCGGTTTCTTCACCTAAATTCCCATTTACTGATCTTAGAAAAGTTTCATCTGAAATTAATGATCTCCTCACTTAAACATACGTAACCTATTTTTTTTAAATTGTAGAAGAGCTAGGTAATACTTATATATATAATTATCTGAACTAAATTTTTTTCCAACCTTGCTTGTTTAAGAGTGAAGAATAAGACCATAATCCTCAAAGTTTCCCTTTACATAGAAGTGCTGGAGATTCGCTAAAAGTAAAAAGAGCATAGGTTTAACTGTGAAAAAGTGTATTTGTTTTGTAGAATTTACCTCTTAGAGCCATATTTCTGATAGGTCCTAATGAACACAAGAGTAAAGATCATATGCGATGAAAAAATGAGATCACCACAGCCATAGAGAACCCCTCGAGGAACTGCAAACAGGCAGGCTATAATGAGCATAGAATTGCAACACATATCAACCAGATAAGATCAAATTTTAATCATAGAAACTCACAGTTAATCAGAAGGACCTCATATGCACTGTGTGGAGGTGGGAGAGTAGCTAGTTTTGAACCCTATGTGCATAGCCATCACTCATATCAGAATAGATAATTGCACAGACATAATACAGTTGTAATGAAAACTTCCATCTAACATTATAAAAACATAAGACATAAAATATACAGAGTAATATATAAACTGTAAACTCGTGAAAATGTGAAAACAAACAAGGGGGAGTAGAGATTTACTTCGCGGCAGTGGTAGTTTGGACCAGGAAGCTGTGTAGAATAGAATGTGATGATCCTAAGAAACTGTGATGCCTGAACAAAATATTAACAGCAACAATATTATTATTTTTGTTGTCATGGTAGCATGAACAATACAGTATATGGTAAACTGGAACATTTTTTATTATAATAATATGCACAATAAATACATAGCAAAATAGATTCAGTATAAAATTCATATGCAAAAACAAATATGCAATGAAACAGCACAAAAGTCACAGCTGAGGCTGATAGGATCCTACGTTTCTCATAATGTGAGCTAGAAAAAGTAGTCCAGAAATAAATAAAACACAAGCTCAAAATACAAATTTATCACAAAAAGTCAAATCTGATATACAGAGTTTCAATAAGCTGAACTTAGACGATGCAAAACCTATAACATTATTCAAAGTATATTGAGATGAATTGTCAAAAACCTGAAGTTAACTTTTACATTCCAGCAGATAGTATCCCGTAACTAAGGCACTAGTTCTAAAATATTTGATTTAATTTCTATCAAAACCTTATAAGCATGACAATGCACAGAGCCTATTCAAGAAAGAACGGATGATCACTTACAACTAGGAATGCAAGGACCCTGCACCACACTAGAACTGTGTAGAACCTTTTGCTTTTGAGAATGAACGGGTGAAAAGTCCACTGCAAAATATTTATTAAATCATGAGAAAACATACAATCATAAATTAAGAATGGATAATAATGGTTATAAGAAATATAACACCAGTCAAGCAGTCACTGTCTTTCTGGATCTAAAAGATTTAAAATAATTATTTGCTTTTAATGAACAGATAACAAATACAAGAGAGAGACAATTCAAGGGTTATAATTATAACAATAAAACACGATTCCTTGACAAAGTAAACCTACTTCCACTATGTATACGCAAAGAGGTCTCCTTAGATATGACAAATTCAACAAAATTGATTGGTTGAATGGGGCATTATTTATCAAGACTGAGAAAATGCAAATATAAGTTGGTCAGCAAAATGCCAACACTGCTGATTTCAATGCCATCAGTAACTAACTGGTTTTAGTAGATAAGCATGCCAACAGGCTTGGTCTATTAAATTAATGTCTTTCCAATCACTGATAATATTCAGCGATATATGACCATAACAAAAACCACATCTGTAGCTAGAAATCTAACAGAATTTTTACAAACTATTTGGTGAGCTAAAACTATTATATTATGCTATATAATACAAAAATGAAACCAGGATGTAGTGAGTTAAGGGAGCCTTACCAAAACAAAGGCTATAAATATGGAGGAAAATACAGTCTCACTAATGTAAGCCTTGTCTTCTCCAAGTTCCTACAGACACGAACTCATTGATAAGAACATCAAAGATATTAAACAGATAAACCGATCAACAGAATTTGGATAATGAACATACAGGAAGAAGAAAGAAACCCGCATCCTGAAGTGTTGGGCCAGGCCTATGTATATAATGAACACCTCGTGCAGCCAAACCGTGAATGTACTGTAAAAAGAGTCATTTCACATATTAGATAGTACTATAGGAAAAAAGAACCAGTAAATCTAAAAACCTCCCACTTCCAACCAGCCTTCATAATACCCTGGATTTCAAGGTAAACCGTGTTGCAAATCACGGAGGAAAAGGCGATCAACATCTTATTGTGAAAACAAGATCAGTATAAAAGACCATTAAAATTTGACCACTCTGCATCATTTACCTTACTGAGCTCATATTGTTATATGATTGCCATTATACTCCAAGAATAAAAACATATCTTACACATTTTCTCTAATACCTCAGAGCATGCTACATTGTCAATTTCTCATATGCATTGCTACGAATTCGATTAAAAACTCGATATTATCCTATCAATTACCTTCAAGCATCAAACAAGCAAAAAACTATCACATTAATTTCCTACAAAAAAATTAATAACACAACTTGATAGTTCTCCAGTTCAATCTACAGACAGTCATCCTCAAACCTAACATCGATTCAAGTTGTTCAAAAATTCTGTATGCTAAAACTTAAACAAAACTATCAACACATAAACTGAATCTTCACCAATTAACCTGTACCTAAAAACTTAAAATTAAACCAAAAAATAAATCCAAAAAATAAATTTCAAAAAAAAAGATTAACAAACCTGAAAAACAAGTCCTCCTAAAATGTACTTCCAATGTTCCAAAAGAAGATTGACTTCGGTTGATACTTCCGCACAAAATCTCTTCCATAGCTTCATCATACACAAATTTCAACCCAAATTATTCCAAAATTTTTTGAAAAATTCAAAAAAAAAAAAAAAAAAAAAAAAGAGGAGAGAGAAAGACACCTTTGAAGCTTCGCGACCGATGTAAAGCGACATGATTTAAGCAATGAACAACCAAGGCCATATTACTTTACAACACATCTAATAAGGTCAACATCATTTCCGTCACAAATCAATCTCATATACAATATTCACCTCAAAATTCCCCTAATTTTATTTTTCCTCAAATTAATTAATAATCAAATTTACAATTAGATCGATTTCGATCAAACACAGAAAACCCTAAATTCTTCGTCAATAATTGAACAATAAACAAACAAAAAAAAGTTAAAAATTGTTGAATCAGAGAAGATGAATCTCCCTTAAAAATCGCTGAAATTAAGAATTGAAATAAATTATTTTTTTGTGTAGAGAAGATTGATTGATTGATTGGGGAAAATGGTGGAAGTCGTGGTGTGAGGCTGGGTAGAACGCGAGTTGAACACGGAGAAGACAGTTGAATTGGCAAAAAAGGTAGGCTTTTTATTAACGCCTACTTTCTCTCTCTTCTTTCTCTTTCTCTCTCCAGAAGAAAAGAAAAAGAGAGATTATTTATTAACTGTATGTAGGATTACGGTCGTGGTCAACTATTGAAAATCAGAATTTGAATTTTATTTATGGGCCCATTTAGAAGGCTAATACTTGGTGTAACCGTGTAACTGTGTAACTAGCAATTTCTTTGAACATGCATACCATTTGGTCAACATTGCGATGCTAATCAATTTTTGTTTTTCGTTTTGATGATTTGTTTGTTAGAATTTGTTATATACATCTGTACAACCTAATTAATTCAAGATTAGTTTTTGCTCTTTATTTGATGATTAAATTAAAATCAATCATTAAAATGAAAACAAAATACTTGTGGGTGTACGGTACACCCGGATGTATATAACAAGCTCTTTTTGTTTGTTGGTCGTCGTTTTGGACGAGATTTTTGATGTTAACTACGGTGTGGGGTAGAAAAGGTTGTGTTAGAGATAGGACTGTGTATTAAGGCAGGGTTTTATTATAGATCTTGACTGGGTGGGTCAACTTTGAAAATTGAGTGGGCATTAGGTAAGCCGACGTATTAGCAGAGTATTAACAGAGGTGTTCGTTAAACACTTGTCTGTCGAATTACTAGTCTCTGTTAATAGTAATAATGATAGCCACTTGGTCTTGGTGTCATGGTGTGAATGTAGAAGGAATTTGAAAAGTTTGATGTTTAACATCGCATCACTGAATTGTACCTCTCTAAAACTTTCTAAAAAAATTTAGCTAATAAAAAATATTTATTTTTAATTGGGAAGAAATTCTCTATAATGTCTTCTCATAGACTAATAGTTTCAACTTGTAAGATGATACACCAATATTATACAGATTTTGAACTACATGACCACATTGGCTAAAAATTGAAACTAAATTCTAGAGTAATATAGTCACCATTAGATTTATCACAAACTATTGGGTCAGTCAAGTCTGACCAAACGTTTCGTCAGTCCAGCGGGTTTGTTGGCCCGACTTCTTTTTTAAGGCAATTTTGTTGGCCCGACCTCTTTTTAAAAGGAATTTGTCCATCCCAACAATACCTCACTTATTACTCCAGCCCAACAAACTCCCTCAACGTTTATTCTTCCTTTTTTTTTTAATTTTCCAAAATAAACCGCCATTTGTTCATCTTCAATTTCAAGTTTCCTCCATTTTTCTTCTTCTTCTCTTCACTCGTACTTCGATTTTGCTTCTCTGCATTCTTACTTACTCTTCATCATCTTTGTTTCTCTTTCTATTTCTTGATTTTTGTTTTTTTATGAAAGATTTTAGTCGTACTTATTACCGTCGCAAATCAACAACGATGATATCGAAGAATGTGAAAGAGTGTCCTCGATCAAGTATAGCAATTACTAAATATAATATAGGATTAATTAAGGAGATTATTAATTCGGTTATTTTAGGAATCGTAATGTTTTGCTAGAAACCAACTACGATTTGCAGGCCTATTATTTAGTGGGCTTGCTGCTAATTTAAATCGGATCCTATAAGGTCACACATAAAAGCACGAGATGAAAAGTACACTAAGCCCAATAAAGGTTAAGTGGGCGGTTTTATGAGGAGTCATTAATCAGTTAGGTTTTCTACTCTAGTAACCTAATAATCTCTATATATTGGGGTTATTACTGTGTATGAGATATACAGATATACAGAGAGAAAAACAACGTAAAATATTTCTTATAGAACTGCTTCCCTAAAAGTGAGAAGAGTGAAAAGTATCTTCCTCCTTCTTTCGTACTAGCATACGTGGGATTCATCTCGGGTTTTGTGGACCAAGTAGAGGAATCACAATTGAGGTTCTGGATCTCCGAAGGAGGGTAATCTAGGTTTAACGAGGAGTACACGCATCAAAGGTATATCTAACTACTTTATGTGATTCGTATTATTATATGCATGAGATCCTGTTTAAGATGCTAAGAAATTGTTTCTTGAAATTCCGCTAAGTGCATCTATTATAATCCTACAGTGGTGCCACCCAGCCATGGTTTATAATAATACGAATCACATAAAGTAGTTAGATATATCAAAGGCCGAAAACCACGGCTGGGTGGCACCACTGTAGGATTATAATAGATGCACTTAGCGGAATTTCAAGAAACAATTTCTTAGCATCTTAAACGGGATCTCATGCATATAATAATACGAATCACATAAAGTAGTTAGATATACCTTTGATGCGTGTACTCCTCGTTAAACCTAGATTACCCTCCTTCGGAGATCCAGAACCTCAATTGTGATTCCTCTACTTGGTCCACAAAACCCGAGATGAATCCCACGTATGCTAGTACGAAAGAAGGAGGAAGATACTTTTCACTCTTCTCACTTTTAGGGAAGCAGTTCTATAAGAAATATTTTACGTTGTTTTTCTCTCTGTATATCTGTGTATCTCATACACAGTAATAACCCCAATATATAGAGATTATTAGGTTACTAGAGTAGAAAACCTAACTGATTAATGACTCCTCATAAAACCGCCCACTTAACCTTTATTGGGCTTAGTGTACTTTTCATCTCGTGCTTTTATGTGTGACCTTATAGGATCCGATTCAAATTAGCAGCAAGCCCACTAAATAATAGGCCTGCAAATCGTAGTTGGTTTCTAGCAAAACATTACGATTCCTAAAATAACCGAATTAATAATCTCCTTAATTAATCCTATATTATATTTAGTAATTGCTATACTTGATCGAGGACACTCCTTCAATCTCCCACTTGTCCGAGAACAAGTGGAGCAATCTTGAATTCTCTTAAGTCTCTTAATGTCCAATTTGATAATATGATAACATCTTATGTCATCCATATTAAGATTCAAATTATTTCTTGAAATCTGAGTTAAGAACTATAGAAACAAGTGATTAAACCTTTAATCCACTTGAGCACGGCCATGCATTTTCAGTACTAACTCTTCAAGAGGCCAAGACACGAATCCTATTTAAAATAGGAGGACTTATCCACTCCTGTCCAACCAATACTCCCACTAAACTTTCAGCATTCCTGATTGTTGCCTTTATTACCTCCTTTTACGGCACGGCGTTTGACATCATCAAGGATATACTAATTATTTCGTGGAAGATTGTTGTTCTCATGTCTGAGGAATCCACTAAATATAAGTTTGAAATCTTATTTCAATTTTAGGTCTGTTCCATACACATCACAATGCATATCTATGTAATCGACTAGACATCTCTATGTCCCTATAGCTCATGAAACTGAGCTATCAATCGATCCACATACTAGTCTTTTGATTGAGCCATTTATGTCCATTAATGTCTCAGACTAGGAACACTAGTAAGTTGTAATTTTATGTTCTCCTAATAGGGTTTCATTTGTCAAATCACGCATTTGACAACCTATAAAAAATTACAATTACTTTGAACATTTTATTTAATTCTAAACCACAATTAAATAAGAATAATTTATTGATAAACATAAATATTACATGATTCAATGTCTTTATAATTATGAAAATCAATTACATAATCTAAAGCCATTCACTAACATGCTTGATTCCTATAGCTCTAGCGTGACTTTCATGCTTTGGCTGTGGTAGGGGTTCAATGGATCAGCAACATTCTCATCCGTATGAACTTTGCAAACTCTGACATCTTTCCTAGCAACAGTTTCTCGGATTAAATGAAACTTCCTTTCCACATGCTTAGATTTGTGATGTGATCTTGGTTCTTTTGCCTGAGCAATTGCACCATTATTATCACAATACAAATCAATTCCATTCACAATGGTAGGGACAACTCCCAACTCAATGAGAAATTTCTTAATCCAAACGGCTTCTTTGGCCGCTTCAACTGCTGCCAAATATTCAGCTTCTGTTGTAGAATCTGCTACAGTGCTCTGCTTTGAACTTTTCCAGCTGACTGCACCTCCATTTAGACAAAAAATGAAACCAGATTGTGATCGGAAATCATCTTTGTCGGTTTGGAAACTTGCATCTGTGTAACCTTTAACAACTAAGTCACTCTCACCTCCATATACTAAGAAACTGTCCTTAGTCCTTCTTAAGTACTTAAGGATGTTCTTAGCTGCACTCCAGTGCGCATCGCCCGGATTTGATTGGAATCTGCTACATACGCTCAAGGCATATGAGACATCTGGCCTTGTACAAATCATAGCATACATAATTGATCCTATAGCAGATGCATAAGGAACATTCTTCATTTGCTTAGTCTCATCAGGCGTCTTTGGACACTGAGTCTTGTTTAGCGATATGCCATGTTGCATGGGAATGAATCCTCTTTTAGAGTCTTCCATATTGAACTTTGCAAGAACCTTATCTATATAAGTTTCTTGACTTAGTCCAATCATCCTTCGAGACCTATCTCTATGGATTTTGATTCCCAGAATGTATTCGGCCTCTCCTAGGTCTTTCATAGAGAAACAACTTTTCAACCACTCCTTGACAGATTCAAGCATAGGTATGTTATTTCCTATAAGAAGTATGTCATCCACATACAACACCAAGAAGACTATGCTGCTCCCACTTTCTTTCTTGTAAACACAAGATTCTTCTTCGCTTCTGAGAAAATCAAACTTTTTGATTGCCTCATCAAATCGAAGATTCCAACTCCTAGATGCTTGCTTAAGTCCATAAATGGACTTCTTAAGCTTGCATACCTTCGTAGGATTTTCTGGATCTACAAAACCTTCTGGTTGTGTCATGTACACATCCTCCTCCAAGAAACCATTCAAGAAGGCGGTTTTCACATCCATTTGCCAAATTTCATAGTCATAAAATGCAGCAATCGCTAGAAGTATCCGAATGGATTTAAGCATCTCTACCGGTGAAAAGGTTTCATCATAGTCAATACCATGGATTTGCTTGAAACCTTTAGCAACCAGACGTGCTTTGAAAACGGTTACATTTCCGTCCTTGTCAGTTTTCAATTTGAAAACCCATTTGCATCCAATAGGTGTTACCCCATTTGGCAAATCAACCAAATTCCATACTTGGTTCTCTGACATGGATTCCATTTCGGATTTCATGGCTCCCAGCCATTTTTCGG